TTTTACATAACCTCCACATGATACTTATCATAAAGTAGACCTTGCATCACAATACCATTTGCAACATGAACATAAATGGTCGCCCAAAGCTACAGGGGGGTAACTATAAAATGCATTATTAAACTTAAGGAAAGCTAGAGGCTCCATTTTTCATTACATTTTGTCAATATTATTTCACATGGAGCAACAGATTGATTTACTAAAAGAAAGATTCTATTAATGAGCAAGAGTTGGTTTCTCTTACAAAATATTTGGCATCACATCACGATTGTTGCATAATGTCTTTAGTGCTTCTGACTGGACTATTTTTGACTGTGTTGAATTTGGGCGTCACCGTTTACTATTATCACCAAGGACGCCACCATACGGCTGGAGAATGCTGAAGAAGAAAAGTCTTGAATTTACATGAATTTGTGATCTGTTTGTAAAGAAAATTGTGACAGGGGTTGCCAAAATTCAATATTTGACAATAAAGAATTAAATAAACTATTATGTAAGTCTGTTAGTTCTTTTCTTTCTTTGCCTTTTTTAGGCTTATTTCTCATTTTTTGTGCTATTATTAGACCTAGTAAGACTAAAAAATAGTAGATCTACTACGCTAGGCCTTTTATATTTGTGTGACAAGCATCAACATGATCTTAAAAATAAAACTGCAATGCAAGACCAGCCCCAGTTAGCCTACTTTGTTTCTTATAGATATACCTAGTAACCTTGTATAGTTTTCTTGTGTATTTCAGAGTTTTAACTGTAGTTTAGTTTCTGGAACAATCTAATGGACATAGAAAAAATTGATACTGAAACTAGTTTAAGGTTAATGGAAATTTCAGAAAGTTTGGCAAAATTAAGCAAAGATATCAATGAGACATCCACATTGAAAGATAATTGCCATAGAATTCCATTTAGTGAATCAAATTTGAACAAAGGAACTGAATCCTCAACCAGTTATTTAAATGATGCAAGTTCAGTGTCGCTTGATAATAATTCTACGTTAAGGAAGTCAAAAGTGTCATTTTGTGATTCTCAAAATCTGTCAAATAAAGTGTCCTCTTTAGAAAACAGCTTTGCCTCGAAAAGTTCAATACTTAGAAATCCATCACCATCATATTCAAAGCATAACAGGTCTTTCTCACAGTCAAATCGCAGTCTTTATTCAAATATGCCCTCTAGAAATAGCCTCAGTCAAAATCCATCGTATAGCAGAAGTAGAAATTTAAGCACCTCCAAATCAAATTTTCAAACAAAATATCTGCCAGAATTTTGGAGAAGTCAAACCTCAGTGAGTCCAAATCAAGAAATGAGAGTGACACAAGAAGAGTTTGATGCTGTGAGATATTTTCCTACCACTCTTGGAGAACCATCCTATTCTATGACCATTCCTGTTCAGTCTGTGGAAGAACCACAACTCTCTTCTCGGTACAGTTCTACTAGGACCGTCAACAGAAGTTACAGTGGTAATTCTTCTTATTTAAACCCATATGATAGAAGCAGGTACAGTGATAATGTTGAAAGTTTACACTCCATAATTCAGCGAGCACCAAGTACATGTAAGTACACCCTTTCCACAAAGTTTCGCTCATTAATGTGGACTTCTGGACGTGTATAATAAATGCTTAGACTCACCAAATCACACCTGTTATGAAGTTAACAGTCTTGAGATTGAGAATGAACCTTGTTTGAGTTATTTCCCTTTAACCAGCCAGGTGTCACAACTTGCTCAATTGGATTTTAATAAATCATAGTCTATTGTGCATGATTAGTCTAGCAGTCGTATGCTTTTTTTCAACAAAAAAGATGTGTATGATAAGCACTATGATTTGTTAATAAATTGTTTATCTGCAGTAGCTGCCTCTATACCAGAATTATCTCCATTTGAAGAGCATTTGACTAAACTTAGATTAGAAAGATTACAAATAGAAGAAGATAGATTGAGAGAAGTGTTGAGAAGGGAAGAATTAGAAAATATGAGAGGTCCAGAACCTAAATGGTATGTTGAAATAGTCTATCTTATGACAGGATTAATCGTTAATAGTAAATCTCTGGATATGATGTACTTTGTAAATTTCTGAAGGTTTCATTGCACAATTTGTCCTGCAGTAAGTCAATGTTCATAATGAATATCTGAGAATTCCTGAAAAAATTGTCTTTGGCATAGTTATAGTTATATGATGCAGAGCATGCTTCACCTTATGGAGCACTTGCTGCATTCTTTTCTACAGGTTGACTTAAGATAGTTCACATAGCTGATATAATTAATGCTTCTTGATTTTGTACAGGTATGAAAGGAAAGATTCTAGTTTTAGTTATGAAAATCATAAAAACACACAACTAGTGAAAAGTCAAGATAAATGGACTGACTTATTAAAAAGAAGAGAAAACATTTTGAATGAATCAAGAAAGATGTCAACCTTATATGCTACAACACCAGTCTTTTGAATCCAAAATGGTTGTCTTGGCAACATCTTCTCTTTGTTGGTAGTTCTAGAACTTGGTTAGTTGTACTAAATGGATGTACATGTGAACCTTTCGAATTCAGACGCACAGTACAAAATGGCAGCATTTTTTATTCTTTGTAGTAGCTACCTAACATTTTCTTCATCTAATGTCAGATTGTCGAAAACTCAACTAAGATCAAACCCAAATTTATGAAATACAGTATCTGATTGGATAATAAAAATATATTTGTTGGTGATTGACCAATCAGATTGGATAATGAAAATATATTTGTTTGTGATTGACCAATCAGATGAGTGTTAAGTTAATTAGGCATAGGTCCTAAATCCATTGTTTTAATAAAATGTGACATCTGAAGGTTATATCTTCTGGAATTTTTGTCAATGTGTTAACTTTTAATATTGTCATTGTGTTAAACTGAAGATTATTTACGATTTATTGCACAAAAAGTCATTAAAACGTTTTTCATGTACATGCATTAAGTTTATTTCAATTGATTTGTTGTTTTGTCAAGACTATTTTGTGCAAGGTAGAAATAGAATTCCAAGACTCAAATGTACTTGAAAGCAAGCTAGACTTGTTAAAAAAGCTGAAAAGTGCTTAGGTGATTAAAGAAAGCTTAAAAGTGTCTTAGTTATTCCAAAGATTTTGAAACATTCCCTTTTTCTTCTTTCTAAAACTGGACAATTTAGTGTCTTTTAAGTGTTTTTTCTCTAAGAACATGATATATGTATGTTTTTATTGTTATTGTTGTTTATTTTTGATTATATAAACTGTGATATTATATTCCCTTAGTATTATAAAACACAGCATCTTACCAAATATATTATCTGTGTTAATATTCAGTTTGTTTTCATGTATTAACAGGACAATTATAAGTCCCTTGAAGTCTTGATCTTCCTTAAAGGGATGATTGCGCCATTTTCGGGGATTGTTTTGGGTCTTGAATATATGTCAAAGTCTTCAGAAGTACTAGAATTGCACAAAAATTGTATAATTCCTTCAAAAATACTTCAAACTCGAAAATTCACCCTCTATTTATATATATTTCCTTTTCTATATATGGCAGTCTTTAGAAAAGACAAGTCGTCATTTTAACTTTCAAACACGGGATAATGCTGGACACACATGGATTTGAAGGCTCAAATTTCGAAGATAAGCTGTGAACACTATTAATGATTGGCTTAGCTTTAAAAAAAAATCCAGTTTCTGAGACTAGCGTACGGTTGGTAAAAAAAATGTCCCTTTAACTGTATATAGAGTCTTCATCCCAAAAGCTGCCAATAATATCTAAAGACCTTCCTAATACCTAACTCATGAAATGCTTAGTTTTTGTGCAACTGCAAGAACGACAGACAACGCCTCACTGAAAATTTGAATGTAGCAAATCTGTGCTATCAATGTCTTTGAATGACTTAAAAAGTTACAAAAACTCTTTATAAGTTGGTGGATATAGTTGATAAATAACACATGATTCAGAAATAATGCTTTATGTAGCGTGTTTAGCACAACATAAAAATCGACCACAAACATCCTTGTATCTCCAATCACTATGTTCATTATATAAACATACATCACGACACCAACCCGTTGTACCACAACTATGACTATCACTTTCTACAAGAATCATTGAAGGAAAATACATAATAGAACGTTCACTTGGCATCTGAAATATAATGACTCATGGTCGGATTGAAGATAGGTACATTGCAAAGAAACACTATTGGAGGCAGCCCTAAAGTACAGCCACGATTGACAAAGGATTATTGTATATCTCTTTGATACACGGGATAAGATCTCAATTTCATCTTTCAGAGCGTTTTATTTTTGGCGCGCACGGCCTCTATGCCTAAATGGACATACAATGCTCCTCGTGACTGAGCTTAACGATGCCTTGGACTGGGCAGATATGGCCCAGGCTTACCCTTTCCCTTAAAACCCGACTCTGATTGCATTCTATAACCAGAGAAGATTTGAGTTATTGCACTTGACTTAGTAAAAACACATCAAAATTTATCAGGGAAGTGGGCGTATCTTGCAAGGCAACCACTTGTGTCGTTTTCCTATTGGGGGGGTGTAGGTTACATTTTACACATTTTATCCTAATGGTACAACACAGTATAGGTTAATGTTTCGGAAACTTACAAAAAAATGTTTGGGAAAAAAGGATACGACCGCTTTTAATACCAGCTTTATTGGCAGTTTCTAATCCAAACGTGTGTATAATCCAAGTATAGGTGTCCGGACCCAAAGTGGCGTTGTGATATCTGGTTGGTATTTGAAAACTAAAAATGTTATGACGATCTCCTTTATTTCTCATCTTTAAGTTATCAGATGACGTTAGCTCTAAATATATCACACATATAACCGACAAAATCCGAATACTAGGTATCTGTAAATAATAGATATAACTAACATTCAGTGACCCAACTAGATGAGTTAGGTGCCTGTGGGCTTAAGTGGGTAAGGGCCCGTTTCCCGGGAAATTTGTTTTTAACATATGTTCTTCTGTATCCCTCTGTAAGTCGATATGCATGTTAATGGATTTTCAGTCTGTAGTTAACATGCTATTTCTGACCCCCTACTCCCCTGGAAAATTTTGTGGTGATATATTCTGCATGTATCATCATATATCTATACTTAATCTATATTCCATATATCTGTTCACATTATTGTACTGCTTTATATTTGTATGCTGTCCACAATGGGCGTATATGCCATAAATCTTATAACTGGACACACTTATATGGATAACAATTACTTTAATAAATAACTTGCGACGTTTCGACGATGATGCTTTCGTCTTTATCAAGCAATAAATCTTATCTTATCTTATAATAGTAATAATTCTCAAATTGTAAGCAAACCACATGTAAGACTTTCATTCTGAAACATGATACGCATACCATAATTAAAATTGAACTGGCCATGACATTATCATGGACATACCATCAAAGCAATTGTCTTTTTAAAAATTATGTAAACTAGATATCGACTTACCATATTTCAAGTTTTGATTCAATATTAGAATAAACGACATACGTTTCAAAATTAATAGTAGGCCAATTGTATAGAATTTGATACTTGGTTTTTGAAAGTTTTGACGTATAAATCCCCAAATATAAAACCCAAAACACGTTAAACTATCACGTTTTGTCCAGGTTGATAATAGTCCGAAATTGAGAGTTATGATTGACGACACCTTCACCTTGTCAAGCTGTTACGAACTAGACGAATGGTATGAGTCGAAATGTTTCGGACTAACATTAAGTCTAAACACATTTCATGACGTTGGTTGTAACATTCAGTTGTTGATTTCTCCAACACAAAGATGTGAAAACAAGATCTTTATGAAATGTAGTTTTAGATCCACATAGTTTTGTTAAGTTTGTGGCAGCTAGGGAGCCACAGATTGCCACAAAAGCATCACTTTTCCTATGAAGATGTGAACGACATATAAAAAGATCAATATAATTATAATGCTAAAGTGTGCTTTGAATTGAAAATTTAAAAAAAAAGTCCTTTCTGTTTATTTTTAGCCACAGGGTGGTTGTTTGGACAGGGAATTCTGCAGGTGGCGCTCTATTACCAACGAACTACAGTTTTGATCCATTTTTGTTAACTTGCTATCTAACTTTGCTAGTGACAAAACCAATTTGATATTTTATTACCAATCTGTAAGGAGGCCCATAGCTAGCCCAGGGTCTTATGGGGGAGGGGCACATATTTTTAAGGGGGGCTCAACTATGTGACTGGGCCTGGCTGTAAGTGATACCGTATGCTACTTAACGTTGCGAAATATACTTTATAATTATATTTATAACTTCAAAGAAAAATTTGAATCAGGAATAACCACAGGAATCATTAAAGTCATTAAAACCGCAATTTAAAGTTGCATCACGACTCTTTCATAGCCTTTTAAGTTATCTAAACGTCTTATAACACTGACCCGAATTCAGAAGAAAAAGAATTGAGGTCAAAGCCCACATGTTGGGTAAATTTAATGGAATGGTTCCTATCTAATATTTTCAAAATAAACATCAGTACGTAGTCAATAATTGGATACACATTCGTAAATTCGTAGTTTCTGGTCGCCGTCTGATCATTTTCCCATTCATATTTTTAGCGGGTAAAGTTAGCACGAGTTTCTCTTATAATTTTGATATCGAAAAATGATTCATTCTTGACTTCGACTTTCTTACACTGAAGTTATTGAAGAATTAACTCTGTTATTTTAAGGCTCTCTTAATGTGTTAAGTTAAATATAACGGTAAGAATGTATTTCTTTGTGTTTTGGATTTTTACTAATTTTTTGGATGGAAATTATTATTAAATTTAGCATTCTGCTTATTGTCATGTATGCTGGCTAACTAGCTGATCAAACGATCCAGATTGCTATGTCAGCAAAGATTGAGAAAACTCTCTCTTTTCAAGAGCCTGTAAAGAGGTTTTCTAAACTTTGGATGTGTATCAGGGACATAGAAAGCATCAGTTTGCACCATTTCAATTTCGTCAGACGTGTTTGGTTCCACCAAAAATAAGTGTTTGATGAAGTAACTATCACAAAACCTAATTATATCATAATATAAAACCCTTTTCGATAGTGACGTTATAAAACGCTTAGTTTCATTGGAATTACAGGAACAATAGACTCCCGTTCATTATGAGTGTCCCCAACACACATTTAGACATCAGAGGACCTCTTTACTTTTAATCCTTCCGGAAGGGTTAATAGAGCTTGGAGCTCCATTTTGTATAATATTATGCATGTTGAATTGATGAAAGTCTATAATGAAACGTGATTGTATTGGGGTAGTCTTTAGGGATTTTTATAGGAGCTGGGGAAAGTTAGATGCTTGGATTAATGCAAACTATTGACCAAAACCAAGAAAAAAAGGTTCTTCTTACATTATCTGAATATTTTACCAAAAAATCTTACTTGGAGTTAAATTTTATTGCGCCAAAACTTTTTAAAGGTTACGTAAACCTTTAAAAGTCGCCTTATTTTTTTGTCGGTGTTGGGAAATAATTATATAACTTCTACGTACAGATTAAATTGATAAATTACATTGGATTATTGCAAGCAATAATGACGGACTACAAATAATAATAATTGAATTACAAACTATAATGATTGACTACAAACCATAATGATTTTTCTACAATGATTGACTACAAAGAATGATAATTGACTACAAACAATAATGATTGACTACAAACCATAATGATTTTTCTACAATGATTGACTACAAACAATGATAATTGACTACAGACAATAATGATTGACTACAGACTCGTATTAAGTATTAGGTCTTACATCAAACAGCTATCAGTTTCCAAATTCTACACCTGCAACGGTTGCAGAGATGTGAGCTTTAAAAGTACATTTAACTTCTTTGGTGTGGACTGGCCTTAACACTAGTAACGATGGTGATGATGAAATACTTATATTTTTCTCTACTCATCTCATTTCTTATTACGACTAACGCCTGTGGAATTTTGTTTTCGAGCGGTTAATTAAGGGAGTGATCATTTAACTTTATTCCTCAATAGTTTCAGTTTTTTGAGATCAATGAACTTTCTGATTTTTCACTTAAAATGTTTATTTACTTATTCGAAATCGAGAAACCAGATTGATGAACTACGTCACCTCTAATGTCTACGTGTTTTCTGGTAATTTTAACTTATCAGACGTGATGCTGAGATTTGTTACACTAAAGGTTCTTACTAATTCCTATAAAACGATAATACCTTAATGATTAACCTACATTGATATCGCAGTCTGTACGTATTGCCCTTGTATTCGACCTCAAGGCCACATTTTCGGCATCTGGAAAAACTTCGGGCAATGAAATCTGGAAAAAAGATGTGAAAATTCATGAGAAATATTATGACGTCAAAATATTTACATCACTATAGTAGAAAGGTCTCAATTTCAACTACCCCTATCGCTTTTCAGAATTAACATCTGACGCTCGGTCCGTTTATTCAGTGAAAACTTACCGTTCTTGCAATTCCACTAAAACTATGCATTTTATAACGCCACTACCGCATATGTTCTAATCATAGAACTATAATATACTATTACAGTTCTATGTTCATATAATTATATCAGATGAAGCTCTTGCGATGGTGACGTCATACAACGTTGAGTTGTATATTGATATTGCAGAAACCACAAACCACGTCTGATGATTGGATGTGCAAATCGATGCTATCAGTATCCCCTATACTCATGTAAATATAGAAAATCTCTCAACAAGCCCTTTAAGATAACGTCCTTATTAGCAGTAATAATAATATTGTGAATATACAACACTTTTTTGGTTTTCAAATACAATTCCATCCACAATTGAGATGTCAAGTCTAATTTCCAACACAAACTTCACATCAAAACTCGAAGGACATACTTTTCTTTGAAAAACAAGGTGACATTTTCAAGGCCAATCAGCAGCAAAGAAGAAAACATCCGGAATAATTTGAATATAAATTGTCAAGATGTCAGTCATTTGTAAAGACTAAATGAGAAACGTGGAATTAAAATCCGATTTCTTATCGAGTTGTCTATCATTTGTTACAGGTTGATAGGAAATGGTTTTATACTTGATAAAAATGAAGAAATTGCTAATAACTCTGCCGTGTTTTGTTCTACTTTGTAAGTATTAATTCTATTTTTCTATATTGCTATGTTTTGCGGAAATTTTACGACACCTGCTTCCAGTTTCAACTATTTGTTTCACCTAATATGTAAAACGTACTGCTATCGCAGGCACTAGTTACGCAAAGAAATCTACCTTCTTATATAAACGGTAAAATTTCAGTCAACGAGCTGTAGCAAGAGCATTGGAATTTTAATGACGTCACATGCATTTTTACGTCTAACAAATGATGGCCGTCCTTTCTAATATCGGTCGGTTTGTGAAAGTCAAGTGACCTTATAAAGGTCATCATGCCAGTTAATCCAACTTTAAATAGGTAAGGATAATCATCAATGACACGAGGTTTGTCGAAGAGTCATCTGTAGAAGGGGTGGAAGAACGGGGGGGAGGGGGGGGGGGGAGAGTCCATCTGTTCGGGAATGCCCCTCTACTGCGAAATATCAAGACCTGGGTAGGCAGTACCCTTAGTTGTTATAAAAAAGATTGCAGTTTCTTTCCTTTTTCTTCATTTTTATTGTCAGTCGTAAACTTTCGTTGGCTTGTTTGAAAGACTCAGTAAGCGACACTTTAATTTTCTTATCTTAAAATTTAACTATTACAGACTTAAATGTAGAATCATTTCAACCTAGCCATTCTCGTCATAAAAGAACAATTTTCCAACTATGTGGGTTGATAAATTACTATACAGGAATATCATGCTGGAACTATAATGATTATGGTTGTTTCTGTGGACTGGGAAATTCTGGTCACAAACCTGTAGATAATTCTGATGCGTAAGTAATTGTATCTTTCTTTATAAAATCTAAGACCGAATCACTCTGTTGTCAATCTAAGGTGATTATCGAGTTTACTTATCAGAAAAACTTCTTTCTACAAAAAATTCTAGTTATTAATTTCTCTTTGAAAAACTCTCTTAGACTCTCCCCGGGAGGCTTGTGCCATTAGCGTTTTCGTACAACTGCCGCAATTGGAGTCTTAACCTCGACCGTTGTCCCCTATTAGGTCAATATGCCCAGTCTCGGAAGGCTGGCAATATCGCAGGTTGATGTTCGATCCCCGAATGGGTCGTGGGAGTACCACCAACTTTGCAAAAGCAGCTTTGAAAAGGAGGATAGTCGTCCTTGCCGCTCATTTCGAAATTAACTACAGCTGATAAATTAGAAACAAATATATAAATCCAAATGATCCAAGGCGTCGATCTCTAGATTTAGGGATTAAATTTCTGAAATGCACGATTAAAATCTTGAATCTAAGATGTCTGACATCATTAATATTTCAGATGTTGTAGAAAACATGATAACTGCTATGGAAGATTAAATTGTTATTGGTATTATCCTCAATGGATTGGCTATGAAATAGATTGTAATAATTCTACATGTGCTTGTCAAGGTAAGATTATGCGGTTCTATCCCATAATTTTGGTTTCTGGTAGTTTAACACATATCTGGTCGACCAGATGAGTACACAAAGCTTTATGAGCTTGCATATTTGGCGAAAGTGGATTGAATTTGGATCTATGTTTCAAAATGTTCGTTCTAATTTTGAATTTCTTTAGAGTCGTTGACGTATAAGCTAGAAACAATCACTGGATCTAGAAATAGAATACGTTTCCCCCACATAAGCGATGCTGTATATATAGCGACAAACATTGTTGAGTTGTTCGGCAGCATGATCCTTGTAAAGTTCAAACATGATCTGTATACGCCAACGAGTTCGTTGACATGCGACAGTCTCCATAGGGCCTTAATTTTCAACTGATTGGCGCCTTCATGTATGAAGAAGGTCGTCCAGAAGGGATAAACAAAAAATAGGTTCCACGTCCTTCATAATATCAATGTTGAAATTTCCAACTACAATCCTGTCTATAGCACAGCTGGTTAGGGTGTTGGTTAGCAAATGGTGGCTGTGCGTTACAATCTCGATCGGAGTGTAAGTCATCTTCACTCATAATTCCAGTCGAACAAGCAATACATTTTTAAGGATAATCCGGGAAAGATCAATGCCAAGAGGCTTGTAGAAAGGATCTCTAATTGTGAACCTCAGTTGTTATCCTTGTAAAATAAAGTTGTTTCTTTTTTTCGTTTTCTATCAACGTGTATTTGGTATTTTAGACGATCCTGTTGATTATGCCTGTGCTCGTTCAGTTTGTGAATGTGATCTACGACTAGCACAATGTCTACGAGATGCATCACCAACATACAATGAACACTATAAAAACTATGACAGAGTTTTATGTCGACCAAGAAGAAGACGAAAATAACCACAACGTATCAATCGTTGACAAAATAAGAATATGGTAATCAATCAAAATGGGATTTTTTCAATGTATACTTAACACATTAAAGAGATTGTAAATGTTTTCAAAATTTTTGATGACGTCAGTAATCGCGAAGAGCCTTAGGTCTATGTTATAATTTTGCGATTAGTGACGTCATCAAACACTTAATTTTAGCTGAATTGCAAGGACCTCAGACATCTGATTGAAAATTGGAATGGTGCAAGTTGATGCTAACATCGTCACCGATACACATACAAAATTTTGAAAACCTCTACAATCAATTTAACATCTAGATGAGCCACTGCATGCACCTAAGATTCTTAGTTAATCAGATCATTGAGGTCGTTGGAAATAAGTTTTATTGTTTCCTAAATCATATATTTGGGTAGTTATAGGCCTATGTTGTTATTATTTGTTATAAAATATTTTAAATTATTATGCCAAATAATGCAATTCTTTTACGTATATAATAACTGTTTGGACGATCACTTTAACGTCGTTATACTCTTGACTGGTTTACATATTAATTTTGACAAAAATGAGGAATAATATATTCTCCACATACAACTTTGCATCTGCAGAAAATATTATGTTATGTAAGTATATTTCTTTTGGGGTTAGGCCTATGTTAAAAATGTTGAAAAACGATACGAATTTCCCTTAATCTTGCATGAATGAATTTGACCTTCAAAAAGAGCTTTGGTCTGCAATAATATGACACTTTTGCTATATAGTTTCTCATTTAGAAATCATTATGTAGATTATTTGCGTATATCGAACATAATGTTTCTAAATTAGAATACTTTAATGATTTTATCATTTACTCACTGATGTAATTCAAATTAAAATGTTGGACTTTGGAACTAGTAATTTAAAATTAGACTGAAAATTAGATAAGATTTCACCTAACATTCAAGTGCGAAGAAGTTCTAGTAAACAAGGAAATTAGTTCGTAATTGAAGATGATTTAGTTCAGAAAAAATTATTTGAACTAGGTTTTGATGCAATCTTGAGATTAACGGAGTTCAATATTACAAAATATGTATTTGATTATGAAATAATTATTTTCATAAATGCACGTAATATTCTTAGTTAAGCAGATCATTGAGGCTGTTGGAAATAAGTTGTAATATTTCCTAAATCATAGAATTTAGTAGTAGGCCTATGTTGTTATTATTTGTTATAAAATATTTTAAATTATTATGCCAAATAATGCAATTCTTTTACGTATATAATAAATGTTTGGACAATCTTATTGTTTTTGTTTAGATTGTATGAGAAAGAACTGCTACATTTTAACGATAATCAACACCATGAGCGTATATCACTTAGGTTTCGCTTGTCTCGAGATTTTGGGTTCCTTTGGTCCTTAACTACCATAGGGAATTGTTGGCACGGGCCCCCATCCCTAAGGGGGCCAACTTAAGAAAAAATACAAAATTTAAAAAAATATATAAACGAGAGAAATAGCATTAATTACAGACTGAAAATATTTAAACCTTCCATTAGCATAATTCAGGATAAAATATGTTTAAAATTTTCAAAGGCTGGGGGCGTGCCGCCACTTATCTCGTTGAGCCACTGTGTATCACTCCATAGTATTCCGTTTTGCAGTGGTTAGGAAAAGTGTCTTTCAATAGAGCCAAAAAAAAACAACAGTAACGTTTGGGAATTCGAACAGAACTCTCAAGCAACTGTTTATTTCAGCACGTCATGTTCCTTTAACGGTACGATATTACATGTATACATATCTACTACCGGTGCTAAAATGAACTTTTTTGAAAATCGACAATAACGACAAAAGTTGTTTGCCACACAAATTCGAAGAACAGAGTTTTTTTGATCGATCACTAATATTGTAACATAAAGCATCAAATTTTCTAAGAAGCTTCTGTAGTAGCCTACTTCATTGGGTTGTGCACAAATACCCCATGGAATTGCAATCAAAGTCCTTGGCATACCAATATGAAATTTAAAAAAAGCTGGTCGTTATCTTTGGGAAAGGAGGGCAGCAGTTTCCATAGTAATTACATCAGGTTTAAATGGAAAGTAATTTCGGACATGGCGTCCGTGTATCTTTACAACTGACTTATTCTTTTTCTCCTGTCTCAATTCTTTCATCTGGTCTTGCTGAACTTCAGGTAATCTGACTGTTTCTAACGGCCCTCCAATAGCCAGCGGATCAAACGTTCGCTTCGATTTAAAATGTCGACGTCGTCTGTCTGTTTTCTGGAAGAACCACATGAGAAAGTTTGTAATAGAATACATGCAACCATCTGGAATTTGGGATTCTCCCCACAGAGCCTCTTTAATTTGAGAGTATATAGGGTTATACGGTATCGGGATTTTAACAAGCCAGTCATTATATAGAACTATAAATGTGTGAATTTTTTCCAGTGGTATCAAGAAAACAGACATTTTGATACCGATAGCTGAATGAAACACCGACTTGTCATCACTTGACGTTATAACCCTACCAGCTACCATTAACTGATAATGTTTTACAGATAGTCCTGTTTTCATTTGTATTCGAACTTTAAACGTAGCTAAACTTTCATGAGCGTGAGCAAACATTTTGTAAATTACTGTTTTTGGAGTATGAATGTACACTGGATATCGTTTGAGCTTCAGCTTCAAAGGAATTCTAGGATCGTCAATGACGTCAACAATTTTTCCAGAGTTCGGTAGTTTTGTATCTTGTGAATATAAATCATAAACTGTAGCATTTGGTACTCCCATGTCCTGAAGACGTTCTTTCACCTTTTTGATGGTTCTCGAGGCCGAGCACCGTATCACTTCTTGAATTCCCGAACCAAGATCAATGGTAAGCTCTATACCATAGAGAGTATCTGGATCTATTTGAGCTTGTAACGCTGAAGCTGAGATACGAGGACCAATGTTTCTCTTGAACGAGAAACCAACAGTTTCTGAAAAATCGATCTCCTTGCCATCTTTATATAAGCGAATAATGTTTATTGGGATTCTGGATATTCCATGAACTTTGAGAGCTACGATAGCCCAGCAGTCATATTGAGAGACGGTTACAACATGTGTAAGTCCATCATCCAAAGTAACTGGAATGTTCTGAAGTCCAAGCTTGTTCTGGATACCAAGAGATATGAGCTTCAAGATGCTTCCTTCCAAAACTCCATAATTTCCCAGACAATCGTGCCATTTCATATGAGATTTACCGTTATAAAGCGCTAATTGATGCTTAGGTAGGTACAACTCAAACAAAGCTTGGACGTTTTTAAGATTCGGACTCACTGTTCGTCTAAGTATCATATAGATGATATTCATACTCGTCATACACGGGTCCACATAAATATGATACGTTTGTCCCCAGAAACACTCAATGTGCACCAACATATCATAGTACAAATGTAACATCACAAATATTCGAGACTTGTGTCCAATTTTATACTCGAACAAATGACGGTCATTAAGCAAAGGTGCATCTTTGTATAACATTTCTATCCTGTCGAAAGGATAACCTTTCTGGTTTTGAAGGAACAGTTTGAGTTCCCGAACAGTGGTATTGGTATTAAGAACAAGATCATATTTAGCATTTAACTGTTTGGCCTCCAGAGTAATGGTAGGATCACATTTTGGCATGACAGTGATGCAGGATCCATGCTTAATCCTGTAGATATCTATGATATTCACCGGTCGACTCCGCTTAGGCTTCAACACCATTAACTTATCAGTGTCATTATTGAATTGAAGATTTGTTTTCACGAATTCTGTTAATCGACGAACATCGTCTCCCGCCAACGGAGTATATATGGCCAACGTATCTGGCATCTTGTACGACCATATGACCATCTGTTTACCAACAACATGGTTAAGATTGACCTCAGCATATGGCAAATCTTCATCACTGCTATAATCATCATGATGCGTCTTTATCAGATCATCGTGACACTGGAATAAAAGAGAAAACGTCGTTAAAGATATATATTAATCTGAAATAATTGCTTTAGCAGACGGACAATACGTCAGATTTTCCTTCTAAAATGTACTGTAGATACATCTGCATTGGCGCTCTTATGGTACAATGCCCCTTTCAGATTGAAGGCTGTGTGTTGTAAAAGCTATAAAATGGCTCTGGTACGTATGGAAAAGGAAATGGAAATGGAAATGGCAATATTGGCCACGGTTAATGTAACGATTATGATCGATCTTGTCATAATGTAAGTTGGTAACGGTAAGTATTTTTTATGGTATGTAGGAATAGACATTTTAAGTATGGTTATATGGTAAGTACATATATATATAATGATTAAGTAAGTGTAAGTATTTATAGTAATGGAAGGTTATGTTGGACACCCTGTTACTTCTGGGAGGTATGGGAATGTGGTAAATTATGTACATTATTATATTGTATTATAATTAAGTATGGTTATGGTAAGTGAATAATGACATAGATTACTATGATGTATCAAATTGTCCAAGAATAAACATTCAATAAAAAGCCAAACATATACAGTATATAAAAAAATAGATCAGTGGAAATAGTTCCCAATGGTTTTCTAGGCAAAATTAGAAATACGTGTAGATCAGCTTACCGTTTGGACATTCTCTCGACTTCTTGGTACCAGTTTCTCTTCTTTAAATTCGCGAAACATGCTGTGATATATTATTTCCTCAAGTTTTGAAGAATTATATTATCGTCCGATAGGCCTATCGTCCGCCATTTTGAAATGAAATCATTCGTAGTCAATGTCAACATATTGTCAAATATATTTATGACTCTCTTTCAATCGAACTCTTTATGAATAGGATTAACAAGTTGTATTGGTTGGTTTCAACAATAGTAAACAACAATAAAACTGTCATATATATTCAAAGCAGACCTCAATCTAACAGTTATAGCTGGTTAAACCTATATGGACCTTTACCCTTTAAAACTGGAAAGCATTGACTGATATGCTTATTATGCAGACTGCAGCGTGCTCTGATCCCTTTTTGCAATCCTTACAAACATAATATTAGCCCAATATTTATGGCTTAAGACAAAGGGCAATGAATTTCATATAGTTTCGTTTATAACTCTGTAGGTCTACTCCAAATTTGTTTCGAAGTGCCGCCAATTCAAAGATTTAGGCTACCCAAAAATGTGGGAAAGGAGAACTTCCGAACTGAAACCTAAAAGAATTAGGCTATAACATATCGCTGTTAATAGCGATTACCAGTTGCGTATGGTAACGATTGATAAAAGTTCCGGTATCCTTATTCGCAATTATTTGCAACTGGTAATCTTATTCGCACCCATATGCATTATGCAACTGGTCGAACGTAACCCACAACTCAGTTGCGTTCGAAACTTACAACAGGTATTGCAATCATATTCAACTGGTGTTAAGGTGAAATGAGAATTTAACTCATAGAAAGCACGGGCCTAGGTCCGGAGCAAGAACTATTCATTTACAGTGCTGGTTAGCTTAGTAATGTTTTGTTAGTTTTAACAATGATAATAAATTTGTTTTGTTGTGCAACTGGTGTGAGGAACACTCTGAAAAAGGACTGTAATTTTGAATAAAAAAATCTGGTATATAAAATTGTTTATTCGAGTTAACATTGAAACACGTACATAAAATCTACCAGTACTATAAATAGTATATATTAATCAAAAAATAACAGGTAAAACAATTGATTTAAAAGTATAACAATTAAAGTCAGAGTTTGATTCTATATAGGCCTCCTATTGGACAAACCAAAAAAGAAATGCAGGTCTAACTAGTGTGTCAATCTATAGGTTACTTCAATATTATTATGATTTTGAGCATTTTTACAATGTTATGCTAGTACTCACATAGTCTTATACCTTGACTTCACTCAGCCATACGGTCTTTCTGTCAAGACCTGATTGGCTGTATTTGCTTGTGTGAAATCAAACGACCTCCGTGAAAATTACACTAATATACTCTGCTCAGATTCAGCTTATGGAAACTGCAGAGAATTGGCAAATGATGACCAATGCAATCAAATCGCTGCATTCGATGATACAAAAAAGTGGCTTTTGCAGTCAAGGTATAATAGCTTAAGTTCTTAATAGCTTGACATTGTAAAAATGGATTTCGAGAGCTTGTACAACTGATCTTTCCTTATATCAAAATTGTATTCTAAATTGTATAATTTGTCTCTTTTTATCATCTGAAAATTTGCTTTACCAACTAATGGAGCTCAGAATCAGAAAAAAAAATCTCAAAAATATTCATTAAATATAATGATTTAGATTAAATTTAATTATATTTAAGTGCAGATATACTCAAAGATGGATATTTTCATTATTAAAAGTAATAAGGGTAGCTGGAACAAAGTTCTAGAAAATGGTAACGCCAAAAATCGACAAACAGATCTCTTGCACAAGTATGAAGATGTCTTTTCTATGATATAATAACAGTGAAACCTTTGATTTCAAACCTTGGCTTTTGAATTAACAGTTTTGGCACATTTTCTAAAACAATATAATATCATTATCTACATACTGGCCTTTAGGTAAAGAAAATGGAGAATGGCATCTGAGCTAACACAAAATTCAAAAAAAAAAAGATAAAATCAATCTGATTATCATAGCTTCAAAATATTTCATATAGTTTATTTTCTGTTGCATACTTCTATTCCCTCCATCTTCACAATGTCAAGCTATTACGACCTTCAGCTTATACCTTGACTTCAATAGCCACCTTTCTTGTATAACAGAAGTGTGTAGATGCAGTGATTTGATTAAATTGTACACAAAGCACTACAGCCAACCAGAGGCCTCGACAAAAAGTCTGTAAACACTAAGGCAAAATGTCTTTCCATCGAGGGCTTTGATTGCTAATTGGCTGTATACGCTAGCATACAATATAATCAAATCACTGCATACCCTTATACAAATTTCTGTGACACAAGAAAAGTGGCTATTGTAGTCAAGGTATGAGCCAAAGGTCGTAATAGTTTGATATTGTGAAGATGACTTCCCTCATACAAGATCTGATGACTTTCTTTTAATCTAGTTTGAACTGATAGAGCTTATTATGTAAATAATTAGACTAATAAGTGAAGTGAAAACCATTGTTCAGTAAAGATAGCTGGGAATTTCTTTTGTCTTCATTAGCCCAATCAAGTGCAGAAGGGAAGTACATACAACACCATTAGCATTTAGTAGGTTGATTTAGTATCACAGATACTACAGTACAAGTAGCCTCTATCATCCAGTCCCTCTTCATCTTTGCACAGAATAATCGTCCTCAACAGGAGAAGTCTGGGTATCAGAGAGTATGAGTGAAGTCATATGAATATACTAAATGAAATATGTAGAACTAGATTTAATCAGATTGTCAAAAACAAAGATAAAAATAAAAAAAATGGGGCTATCTGAGAATACCCATAAAATGTACATCATCAAGTCAGCAGTCCGGTTCTTCATAAGTAATAGATCTTGAGACAAGTGAACGTCAAATGAAGACGCCAAGAAGTGGCAAGTATAAACTGTAAAAGAAATTTCAATTTTTTCCCTTAAAAAAAAAAAAATTTCAAACTGCTCCTCATAGATGAGGATCAAAATGAGCCATTTTAGAAATAGTGGACATTTTTGCTTTTAATCCTTTCTGGATATACATGTCATCCTCAAAACAAATGCTGAATTATAATATCAATATGTGGCCCAATTCAATTTGTCTTATACTGTTTATGGTTGCAATAAATGCTCCAATAAACCTGTAGAGCCATCATTTATTATGAACATAATTTTGAAACATGCTTATGAACATAATTTGAACATAATTTGTAGTATAAGAGCCATATGAATACAATGAAATTTTTAAATAATTTATCAAGAGTATGCTAGCAGGGGCCGCGTCAGTCAGGTTATCATAGAAATATTGTTAGCATCCCCAAATGAACCCCTATTTTATTTGTAATAAATTAAAAATATGATTCTCTTATGTTTTTTCTTCAAAATATGTGTTAGAGTACCCAAATCAATTTCTCAAAAAATTTCTTGGGAAAACCATTTCTGATACTCCATGAGAAGCTTTCGACTATGACGCCTCAACGGAATTGCCACATTTTGAATTCAGCCTCGAGAGTTATAACTCCATTGAGTCAGTTACCACCAGTCTCTGGAGGCTGGCGACGCCACTGTTTGCTAGTTAGATGACATCAAACCTTTGAATCAGTAGGACCCTATTCTCATGGTTAATCACCTCCTTTCTTGGTCCAATGATTGGTTATCTCTATAGAATAGCTTATATACATAAGCTTGCAAAATTTTACTTTCATAGTTAAGGACTCACTCAAACTTTAAAAAATATTGTCCTTCTGTATCAAGGGCTGGTCTGTTGACTGACTCATACACTTGATAAATCAAAAATATTGTTATAAGTGAACAGAATTGACAAATTAAAAATTTGACATATAATATATCAGTCAAGCCAAAATATTCCTAATAAAAAAGTCAAGAGGCTAAACTAAAATAAATAAATTCACAGCCATTTTAAGATCTAAAACTAAATCAGCTTTAGAATAATATATAGGGCTGGGTATCGATTACAAAATTAAGATCGATTATCAATTGCAGACTACCGATCAATAATCAATTAATTATCGAAATAATTCAATTGAGAAATACTAAATTAAAAACATGCCAAACTTCTTAATTTCAAAGGTTATTTTTGCGTTATAGTATATTCTTGCTTTGATTAGTTATTATAGTTTATTGTGGATAAGTTATGTGCTGAAGGGAAACTATGTAAAAGTGATTACTACTAGTTAATGGGTACAGTGGAGAAAATGTAACTTTGAAATATAATCGATTAAGAAATTTGATAATTGATAATCAAAATTATAAATTCCTAGCGACGATTATCGATTATTTTGTTCATTTTACCCAACCTTAATAATAAATAAATATATATGTATGTTATAAAGCCATTAAGCTTTTGCATAAATATGTTAAATGTCATAAAACCAAAATATTTTCCAAAATATTCCAACCCAAATCTTCAAAGTTTTCAAAGATTATTAAGACTAAATCTATAGCGTGTTCAAAAACTAAATCTTAATTTACTACCTTTAAATAATGAAAAAATATTTATAATAAAAAACATAGATGTATATAGTAGATATTTGGCAGAAGTTATGGAAACTATTTCACAAAGGTAAGAAATATCATACAGGGATTTGATCGTGTCAATATTTGCTTAACAAGCCAATAATCAGTTTCAGCTTTCTTTATCACTTTTCGGAATGAAAATTTAACTTCTTGTTCCTCTACAATTAAACAGAAACTAGAAACCATATAAATACAGTGATCTTCTTGGAAGTTATTGATCATGTAAATTTTGTTAAAGGAATTTTAAAGAGGTTTTCTAAATTTTTTATGTGTTTCAACCACACTGGATAGAATCAATTTGCACCTTTTCAATTTTCGATGCTATCAGCGTCTCTGATACACATTAAAGGGATTGTAAAGAGGTTTTCTAAATTTTTTATGTGTATCGGGAACACTGATAGCTTCAACTTGCACAATTCCAATTTTCATTTTTCCGATGTCTGTGGTTCTTGCAATTCAACTAAAACTAACACGTTTTATGACAGCTACCGGCTACTATTAATATCTATGCAGTTCCCCTCTAGTGATGTAAAAAAACGTATTTGTTTTAGTGGAATTGCAAGAACCACAGATGTTGGAATAAAAATTGGAATAGTGCAAATTGATGCTATCAGTGTCCCTGAAACACATGAAAAGTTTAGAAAACCTCTTTACAATCCCTTTAAAGTTTAGAAAACCTCTTTACAATCCTTTAAATAAAAGTCTGTTCTGGGCCAGGAAAGCAAATATCTAGATGATTATATCCCTTTAATCCTAATATAAGTTGTGCAGGTTGTAGCTTGACATGTATTACTACATGATGTCAAATTACAAAGATATCAGATTAAAATACAGCTCTAGATATTCTGTTTCACTTACTCTTAATCCTACCCCAAAAATTTGATCAAAGAGTAATAATTCATGCAAATTTGAGTGGGCTTACAGTACAAAATCAATGTCAAATCCTCTGTACAGATAATGCATATAACAGATCCCTTGACTGTTGGAGTAGGCCAATGCTGCTCTCCTAACAAAATTTCCCTTATTACACACTGCGTGGCATCGCCAATCTTCATTATCCCGAGCAGGAGCAGAAGGGCAAAATTGACCAATATTATGGTTATTGTCGAGTTCTTACTACGAGCAAACCATTTGATTGAATAAATTCTTAAAACTGCATTATAAATACATGTAAATGTATTAAGATCATAAATGAGTGAAGTAGCTCACAGAAAATCAATGAAACAAAGTATATAGAGCTGTATTTGAATTTTTTTTTCATGCCCATATCTACTAACTACTGAGTTTTTATGTGGAGGTTTATCTGGATAATTTACCGTTTAGCAGCCTTTGACCTACTAGATTAACCTAAAAAGGCATGTAGTTGCGATTCTTGACAGCCATGTTCTTTAGTTAATCTGAAAAATCAAAAAAATTAAGATCCTTTCAATAACATTAGTACACTTGAATGTTACTTAATGAAGAGGTTAAAGCTATCATACCTTTATCGGGTTTAACGTCAATACTTCCGTCTAACAATGGGTTTGAAATTGTCTTTTTATGGAAGCAGCCAGTAGTGTCAGTGTGATTAGGGGATTAAACCATCAAGGACAAGAAAAATTCTTAAGCCATACCCATGACCAGTGATTAAAAAAGTTAGTCCAATGTCAACTTTCAAAATCTGACACCCTTCACAGATCTAAGTTATTAAATCTTAGGAATGATAGCTTTAAGTTCAGTATAAAGAGAGCAAGTAGGGAATTACTTTCATAATACCTACCTCATTACTTCTTTAGTAAAAGGTATTGGACCACAAGCACATACTAATAATTTAGTATTACTATCAACAGTTTTCGGTAAATGGTCAGAAACTAGTTCCTTTCGGATACGACCTTTTAAGCCAGTCCAGCTGTCATCTGCCTCTGATAAAATATACTTGACTTCAAATCTGAAATTAAAGAGGGCATGCTATGTTAAATGTTTATCGTAAAATATTAACAGGTGTAAAAGGCATCACCAATTAAATTTCATGACAGCTTTAAGTTTTTGTAAGAGAACAAAAGTTGATAGGTCCTCATGATGCATTTTGAAAATGACTTTTTGACCAGTTATACAAATGATTTTTTTTAAAATAAAATCTGCTCTTTCACTTACAAAATGAAATGAAATGAATAGAGTTTTACATCCTACTTTTCAGCACCATGTGAGCCTGAATCACTGACAGGGGGAACCCGGGTTGAAAATCTGAAGGTATTATCTCAACCAATGCCAGGACTGAACCCTGGACCTTCAGGTTAGCGATCAAGCGTCTAACTCACTGAGCCACCGAGGCTTCCTTTCACTTACAGAGAACATATCTAGCAAGTAAAGCCATGGAATAGGCAACGATACCACTCACTATTACTAGGTTATGCCAACTTGTTTTCTTAGTGCACTCGAGGATAGAAGGGTTTACATTATATTTGCAATGATGTAATTAATAAAAATAAGTAATGAACTAACCTGTTTTTAGAGTTAGTTGCCAATTGATCTAGTTGATCTTTCCACACTATATCTTCTAGTTTTTTATTAAAAAATAACAATTTAACAGACCTACAAAATAGACATTTTATTTTAAATCACAAAGTTTATAATTGTTTCGTTCTTAAAACAGAAAAAGCTGTCTGAATATTTTCTGGAGTTTACACAATCCCTACCCTTTTTCAGAATAACAATCTAAGTTTTGTTTATCTACAAAACCATCCTGCTGAGATATTGGATTTTCTGATAGCATTCTATATGTAGTGGGTGACCACTTGAAACCTCATACAAAGATATATGATGTAAAATTACTTTTCGAGAAAAATCAAAAACTATTTGTATGGGTATTTAGTTAATAGGCCGGAGTACTCAAAGTGTTATACAAGGTTTAAATTTTCAAAGAATGAAAACAACGTATAGCGGTAAAAAAAATAATAAAAAGATTTAACAAAATACACAAGATCCACGCTTTTACAAGCTTTCAAACGGTACCAAAAAGTCAAAACATGCAGTCACCCATGATATATGGATCAAATAATTGTATGGAATCAGTCTGCAATTACAGCAATATGATCTTGCAAATGAACTAGATGCCTGATATCCTAACTGAAAAGCAGTCAAGCTATTTTTTACAGAGCAAATTTTTAGACAAATAATACAAAACTCTACCTAAAAATTCTTTATAACATAATTATGTACTGATCTAATCTGATATACTTACTTTATTTTGGAGTTTTCTTGTAGACTTCTATGTATTAATCTAACCATAGGTGTAAAGCCAGTCCCAGCTGCATATAATACTAGTTGGTGGTCATTGTCCAAACGTTGACTGTTAAAATGACCGTCATAGTTACTAATGTCAACAGTATCACCTGTAAAAACAATTAGTGATTTTGAAAAAAACTGATTACAGTGTTTTATTCTTTTAAAACCAACTTCCATAATCATACACATTTAATCAAAATCTTATCAAAATTGTATTTTTGTCAAGGGCAATAACTCAGCATCAATTACAATTGAACTTGTCCATGACCAATCTAAGAATACAAGTAGAAAAGTCTGAAGAATTTGCATGCACAGGAAAAAAGCCTTTACAGAATGCAATTTTCTGCACCAAAGAACACATGTAAATGGTTTCCTATCTAGTCGGTCTATCGTATCACATATGGAGGCTGCCACGCGCCCATCAATCAGATGTTCAATAAAACAAGTAGGAACAGAGTTTCACATGTGTCGAAATAAATAGTAGGTGCAGACAGAATTCAAAATGGCGGAGGAAAGGAATAGAAGGGAAAATTTTGAATGTGAAATAATCTGGTTCAATAAGTTCCATGGAGGTCAGAATTGGAGCAGACCGAACCTGTTCAAAACCCACTTTCGGCAGCCACCATGATGGGTCATCCTTTGATCTTTACATCTGCTATATAACGTGGCATAATGTCTAAATTAATAACTGACCTATATTAAGACTGTTTAACCAGGGTGTTATTGCTCCATCTGGATAAATCTTTATCATTAAATAAATCAGACGTCCTTTACCCTCTGTATTATCAACATTGGTTAAACTTGGTGAAACACACGTATAACTTCTTACTATTTCCATTCCTAAAACATATATATTAAATTAACATTAGCTGTAGTCAATCAGACAGTCTAAAGACATGGAAATAAATGAAGTAGACATGAAATTAGTGTCATAATAGCTACTTTAAATCACAAAGGAGCCAAATTTCTTGAGAAGTAGTGAGAGCTGTCTGCTTAATCCACATGATCAGCCACGACAGCATCTCTGATCTGTACATGTCTATTTGGGCTGTTGGCAATTGTTCTTTGTAACAACCTTTTCAAAATTCATTCTCAGGTAACTTCAACTCCTAAGATTCTGGCATTTTTCCTCATATTTGAAGAGGAAACCATGAATTGGTGAAAATAAAAGAGGTCAGGTCAAGGAATAATAAAATTTGGACATAGACATTACATGGAAATAACACACAAGAATGTAGTTCATAGCCATTTTTGAATTTATTTTAAAGGCTTAGTTGATATATTATAGTCTTTTTAGAAATTTGTCTTATTAGGTTGAGGAAGAGATTCAAAATGGCTCTGAAATATGTTCGTGTGTGTTATTTCCATGTTACAGAGTTTCTCGGAGGCTTGGCAAATTCAATAAATCCACAATTTAAAGCGGTCAACATGTAGGTGTCAAGGTGAAATGAAAGATAATGTACCTGATATGATATGATGTACATGTATGTGATATCCTATTGGTACACACATCCATGTGGATTCAGGTAGTCGTAAACAAAATAATTTGACATCATGAGTAATATTACAAACAGATTCCAGTTTACATTCATGATATTGTACAGCTGAAATAAAAAACCACCACTAGATTATAACTTAACAGAATCAGACTTATGTATTGATAGTTGTTTTCATGCATGGATGGGGAAAAGACATCATCTGCGATGGTTGCATATTTAGCTTCATACTTAACACATACTGAGTATGTTTAAGAATTCTGTTGTAAATCAAAGATCACGTGGTGAATTTAAGATCATGTGATAAATAAAGTTCATGTGGCAAGTCAAAGATCATGTGGTTAAATTAAAGATCATATGGTAAAATAATGATCATGTAGTAAATCAAAAATCCACGGATAAGTTCAAATTTGGTAAATTTAAGATCATGTGGTAAATCAAAGATCATGTGGTAAATCAGAAATCATGTTAAATAACAAAAAATCCATCAGTAAATAAAAGATTATATGGTAAACTAAAGATCATGTAATAAATCAGAGATGAAGTAAATCAAAGATCATGCAGTGGTTGTGTATACAATTTTTTTTTTGATAACAATGCTGATTCTTACCTAATTCTGTTGTTTTCTTGTAAGTGCAGTGTTTATCTAAAGATTTTCCCAGCCCCGACCATTGCTTGTCGAGTTGTATTTTCGGTAACACTATTTCTACTTTTCCATCTTTACTAGTTTTTATTGAATAATCGCAAGATACTCCATCTTCTAATTCTAAAATGTATAAATGTATTTCATTAATAGAGGATCATTCATGTCATTCATTAGCAAATATAAAATTTTTCCAACTGTCAATGTCTGTTTTATATAGAACTGTTCAGCCTCTTTGCACCTTTTAACTGCAAAATGTCTTTGAGCCACACAGACCAGTCACCAAGAAAGTATTGTATCAACTATTGTTAATTATAATATATATTATCTCAACATGACCTCAAATTATCAATTATTATCAAGGCATCATAATAATTACATATAATTCTTGATCAAATTATTCCATTTCCTGTTACATCTTTGATTATAGTTAATGAAAGTCATTTTCAGGATGACCTTATCAGGTTCCAATAATGCACACCTCTTTTAGCTTGCGTTAAGGTTTTAATAGTAAGCAACCCTGCTTCTGTGGAACAAGCGTCTAATAATGAAATCATTTTTTGCTGTTGACATATGTTTAGGTGTTAAGGGTTTAAAGATGACAACATTCGGACTTTCAGAGGCACTGGCTGTGGAATCGAAATTAACAGACCCTCAGATTTAAAACTTTTATTAGGAAATATCTGTTTAAAAAGGTAAGTATCAATATCTGGACTTGCAGGAATACAAAAAAAGAGGGTATCCAAGACATCGCTCCGATTTCAAGTCAGGTTTGATTGAAAAACTTGACCAGAATTTTTTATCACTATCCAAAATACCATTAAAATCCAACAGATTCTGTGATTTGTCATAATCTCTTCAAGAATTTCTGTACTTACAGGAATCACAGGGGCCAGACGAGAAAATCAGATGTTGAAAACAGAACCCTATTATATATCCCTTTTAAATACATAAGAGAAGACAACAAAGTCATTGATCAGGAGTAATTTCTCACCTGTATGTATAATGAATGTGAGGTCTTTAATATTTACATTAACAGTTAACTCTTTATCTTCCTTACTAATTATAACATATTCTGATGACATATCACCCCATTTAGTATAAACAACCAACGTTATAGTTTTATTAGTCTGATACCAATCAAACCTACAATACAAACTAGTTTTTACCAAGAAATATCTCATTCCATAAACTCAGAAGCTGAATGTCACAGTGAGTTCATAGCTTGTTTGCTAACTTACAAAGCTCCACAAGTTTCCTGATTTTTCCAACCAGATTTTTTGCCATTAATGACGGTGCATATGCAGAGATGACAAAAAGACTCTAGTCATTTGGATGAGACAAAAAAGTCTGTATGCTCTGCTATGTTTTGAAATCGAAAAGGCTTGGCTAATGTTGATATCTGGAAATATTTTGCTCAATGCACACGGCTTCATAACTTCAATCAGTTACAGAATTGCACACTAGAAATTTCAATTATTCTGCAGCACTGCATATGTTGATTAAGGTGCTTTAGGTACTTAAACTCAGCATAAAATAACATTATGCTTATTATAGATATATCTTAATTACTGTAGTGGTTTGGCTAGTAAAAGTGACTTACTTTGGTGGAAGAGGTGAAGTAGCTTCAGGAGGTTTAAGATTAGCTATTGATATTGTTCCTGAAACAATGAAACAATAATAACATACTCTGAATCAATCAGACCGTTAAAACAAATATTGATTTAGAAATATCTTATCAATACCTTTTTTTATTTTGAACCATCTTCATAATGTTAAGCTATTATGGACTTCATCTTATACTTTGACTTCAATAGCTGTCTTCACCGAAGTTGTAAATGCAGCCAATTGATTGGATTGTGGGCTAGCGAATACAGCCAATCAGAGAGCTCAACAGATAATCTGTAAACACCTAGTAAAGTATGACAGTCTTTCTGTCAAGGGCCCTAGTTTGCTGTAATTGCTTGTATACAATCAAATCAAATTGATGCATTCCATTATACAAGAAAGATAACTGTTGCAGTCAAGGTATAAGACCTAGTGCGAATAAGTTTGGCATTGTGAAGATGATTAAGAACTAAACATTATTTCATTTTGATATGAAGATATGATTATAAGTTGCCTACCATTAGCACTAAGTTTACTAGATGAGATACTGGACTTCGATGTTGTACTGGCTAAAAAACATAAAGGCATAAAAACCAGTTATCATTTAGATGAATAATAGGGAATACAACAACGATTTGAAACCAACATCCATTCACTTAAGGTGTCCGATTACCAGTTATAGTTGCAAATAATAATAATTAAAACATATACTGTAAGTGTAGGGGTAATAATGATGATGCACATTGATGCACGAGCAGTGTTCTATGATGGAAACTTTGCCAAAACAGTAGCCTTTGTCTCTTTAATTTCAAACGGTTGAAGAATCCTTACCCTGTAGCAAAGGCTGCATCACTGTGGTTTTAGTTTATTATTCTTCATCTTAAAGAGACTATTCAAGCAAATTAAATAAGATGAATATATCTGTTTAAACCATGAATATGTATTGTTACCTTTTCTTTGGCTGACACTAGTAGTTACTAATTTGCCCACCAAACACTTCTCTAACATAGATTCAGCATTCACCCACTTGTGTATCTGAAAAGATTTTTTTGATACTGCCTTAGAAAAAACCTTATTTAATGTAAATGAATATATCATATTTGTAATATAAGAAAAATTTCCTGAAATACCAATAAAAAACTTTCAAGAAAAAAAAATATATTCAAGTCAAAAGATGCTGTGCTCACCTCATCAAAAAGTTGTGTGGCATCTTTACCTAGGCCTCTTTTTAATTCATCTATACCACCAGGATGATATTCCATATATGGCGTGACATTATAGACTTTACCTGTAAAGATATAAGCTTACAAAGTAATTGTACATGTAAATGATAGCACCAAAATAATTTATCCAGTTTGCTGTCTTACATATGTAACCTTTTACTGCATCACAAGACCAGCAAAGCCCCAGTGTCTAAGTGACTATAGAGATTTAGAAACCACTCAAAAGCAATAATTGCAGCACAAAGACTTTTTTCTTTTATAGACATATATATACCAAAACTAACAATAATCTAGCGACAACTGTGAAAATAACCGGGATTGGGGATTAAAGTTCTTTTACTAAAATATTCCATAGACATAAATTATCAAGGTCCATTTCAGCCCCAAAATAAGCTAATGTTATATATATTGTTACCAATACTTCAGAAACGACTTGTAGACCAATAAAACAACAAAAACCCTTCCCTTACCTCTTAAAGACAACCAGCCATCTTCTTGTGTATTATGTTTGGCAAGTTCTTCTTCTGAAACTTCTAAAATTTGGCCCCCAACACCAGTGAGATCTTGACCACTTCGTCCTAATCTGATCCAATCCATTAACGATCTACCTGGTTTGAGGGAGACTTTAACCCTAACAGTGGTATCAGCAGTAGAGATACGTTGTTGTGAATTCGTACTAGGAAAGGAGGGAACATTTAAACTGTTGCTAGCCATTTTGTTGCCGTCGCCACGTTTGGTATAACCACTACTACTACTATGAACTGGCGAATCAGCCTTTGACTTTCCACACCCCAGTTTGGCGATCTACAAAAATATAAGTCTACTATCAGAACAATCAACCATGTAGTTGGTACAACAATTTTATAATTTATTACGTAATGGAAGGGCTACAGTACACAATTTTTTTAATCTACTTCAAGGCCATTAACTTTTGAAAAGAAAATCACTGAAGTGACCCACATTTTGGACAGGCAATTACTGTAGTGTCTGATCTTCTGCCCATCTGCCTTCTAGTAGAGAAAGACATATTTCCTTAATGATTTTTTTATTGGTTGAACTTTTCACAACCAAAGAGAGATATTTTCATAGTTTACAACCATTCTTAATTAAATTGTTTAATGAGTAGGCCCTGTATACAAAATGTGATTCAGAAACGGACCATAGTCAGTAGGCCAAGTTTATAGTAGGACCGTATTGTAGCCTAACATATTAAAAAGAAAAGGAAAGTCTGCAAAGATAAACAAAAACGAGTGACCAAGTTACTTACTCTGATAAACCTAAACACAAAAGTTGAGCTACATCTTGATGGTGACAATATCTAATTTTTCTCCTTTTGAAATACGTATTACATTTTTTACACTAATTAGGCTGTAAAAACAGGAAAAAGTATTAATTATCAGTGGTGATTAAAAATGTTGATTTTATGTTGATAACTACATTAGACCACTTGTAACTTCTCAAGTAGAGCTCTCTCCAAGGGAGGTAACCAATTATATTCATATTAGTCAGACCACATTAATCGAAACATTCTATTTAAACTGCGTTTTACTTGATGAATCTAGATATTGCACGCAAGTCTGCTTACAGAAATGATTACGATAATATAGAAAAACACTTCGCTCCAAGAATAAATGGAAACATTGTAGTTAGACACGAAACTACATTATACTAAATATTTTGTTGATTTCTGTCAACTTCAATGCCTTCAATCTAAAATCCTCAAAGGGGATCCGAGGGCATAGCTGTATATAGACACAATCCTAGCTAAAGGGGCCTCAGTGGCATATAAACGTGGTATTCTAGGGGATATGCCCCTCCCCCCTTCAGGCTTAGTTTGAAGCCAAAAGTAGGAAAGTAAGCTCTCTTAATGCTCAGAATTCATCCATAGCCGTCAGATATCCGTTAGCTTATGGGGGCCTGTGGCAGCTCTTAGACCCACTGCAAGGAGGCCACAAATGGGGGGGGCAATTTTTTAAAAATGAAACAAATTATATAGGCCAAGATACACCAAGAATATTTATTTCATTCGATTCACATGAAATATTAAATAACCCCGAGTGTATGCCTAGTTTACATAACACTCAATGTAATGTATAAACTTATAAAGCCTATAGGTGTGGTCATATTTGAGAGAGAAAACCTAGAGCATATAATTCTTGTAAAGTAAAAATGTGGGCAGAGTGGTTTTATTTGATTGTGAAGTTGCTTGACAAATATTATGTTACTTATTATCTACATATTTAGGTGACATTTTTAATGATAGGGCCTACTGTAATGCAATTTGACATTTTCAACTGGGAAGCAGTGCGGCGTTTTTGGGTGGGGGGGGGGGGGGGGGGGGTTGGTTTCTGAACCAATCAGCATACATCATGATATAAGATAATACATAATACGTGATACAAATATTTCATATGAGCTGCCTCATTTTGAATCCCAACCACGAAAGTTGGACTCCTACCCCCCATTGAGTCTGCATGACCCCCACTTGTACCCCCAGTCTTTACAGACTGGCGCCGTCAATGCTAGGAAGGCAAAATATTACGACTTTATTCGTTTAAGCTTTTACGTACACAGCTTATAAAATAAAAAAAGCGCAACCCTGTAGTCTACCACAAGACATATCAACTGGCAGATGAGTTTTTGGTGCAACCATTATGATCTCTCAAATATGTTTTTAAGGGGATATAAATTTGCCCCAAGCCCCATCCCCTTAGCCACTCCGGTAGATGCGGCTTGGTATTGTGACGATGAAGTATTGTGTGATGGATGTAAATGAATTTCTCGTACATAATCTATCTCCAAACAAACACTAAATTCAGTTTATCTACTGCCAGTCGACGTCAACGACGATGAACTTCCAGAAGATGAATGTCCCTTAGATGATGGCATATTAACATGGATAACAGACTGTAGGGCTCGAATGGTTGGATCGTGGTATTGAGAAAGTGATGTATTTATTCCTGTTCTGGGACATAATTCAGCTGTATTTGTAGGATTGGAAACTTTCACACGTTCTTCAAATAGTTTATCTTCAACGTATTTCATATATTGATTGACCGACACAAAATGTTTCGGTGAATTTGAAACTTGCGCAGAAATTTGACGTGATTTGTGAATATTTACAGTGGAAAATGGTCGATATCTCCCTGGTTCCGAGGCCACTGGTCTCTTCGGATAGTTTGGTGAGTTGTAGATGCGACGAACACCGTTTGCGAATCCTTTTGAATGTTGAATATCTTGTTCTTTGTTTGGATTAGGGATCTGTTTAACATCAAAAGACACTGACAACAAATTTGTGTCTGGTGAATCTTTTTTGCTTGTTCCCGCCAAACCTATTCGTGGTTTATGTTGTCTACGGCTGTCTGTACCAATAAGTTGATGAGCGTCATGCTTACTGAAACGTTTAGATGGATTTCCTTCACTAACTGACCATGGTCGATCTTGATGGATTGACGGTAATGTTAATTCACGATATCTCATAGGACGCTCTTCTGGAAAGAAGGTGTTAATGTACAGATGGTCACGAACGTCAGGTGTATTTTGTTTCTGCTCTGTTGTGACCCAATTACATCCACCATCTCTGAACGATCGACCAGATCGGGGTGTATCTCGAAATCCTCGAGGTGAGAGCCCAGGCGTACATGATTTTCTTATCTCTTGGCTAGTCGTACATTTTATTTCGGGTTTTTCTTTCTTAGTGAAGTCAAACATACATGTCGTTTTTTGACTTTGTATATTCTGTAAAGATTTAGTGCGAACGCCTGTGGGATAGACTGAGGAATTGAATATCTTAGAAGTGGTCGTTGTTTGTGGACGAAATATCCCATCAAATCGGGGTGGTAGAAACCCTGGGTATTTTTGTCGAACGCTCATCGTCTTTGTTGGTTTTCTCCGAATGGTCATCAAATATGCAGGCATTTACTTTTAAGACAACATCTGAAAATACATTTTTAAAAAAACTGTTAGGAATCGTCTCAATATTATGTGATATACATGTATATAAGGATTTACTTAAAGAACGCACCAAGACGATATAGCAATGGAAGGCCAGCACTATAAAATTCTCTGGATCAATTTCCATAACATGATCCGAGCGCCCCGACATACCTTTGCAGATTTTTTAGGGCACTAGATTATGGTGGGGAGGTCAGAGGGCCTGGACAATTTTGTAATAAGGGAGGCCAGAGAATACATCTAACACGTTTTTGTAAGTGAAAAAAGAGTAAATTTTAAAATTTGTATGGCCCGAGGCGGGAATGGCCCAAAAATTACTGCCTAAATACGCCACTGTTGACTAACCTAGTTTAGTCTCAGAAACCTGAATGTTTTTAGCCAAGCTAATGAATAATTAGAATCTGCCCCTTTATTCATTTGACTGCACCTAGTAAGTAAATATTTAACTTACGCTGATAAGATATATGTCCTGCTGCTACTACATAGTTGATAACTAAAAATAAATTATGATATGGGAAAAATTTTAGATTAACAAAATAATACTGGTTGAATAAACCGGATTAGAGGATTATATATTAGCTAATACGTATTAACAATCTTTACTGTGTTAGTAATTGCCTACGAATATACATGCTCGAAGTGTAATCTCCAAATCGGCGTCTAGGTGATAAAGCACACTCCAGTGAAACATAAAAAGTAAACGTTAAGAAGTAGTTAACAAGTAACAACTCTCAGTTCAGTAACCCCTTAAAGAGTCATGACTCAACGAATGGCTTCCTACCACGATTCTCAAACCCGGTTATCAGTGAACATCACAAGGGATAGCGTAGAAGCTTCTGAGCGAATTACCAAAAGTTCTATGAGCATCTTTTAATACATCTTTATAAGGCCAAGCTGTTACGAACTGCGTCTTATACCTTGACTACAATAGCCACCTTTCTTGTTTCTCAGGAGCTTGTCAATGCAGTGATTTGATTGGACTGCATGATTGTATAGCCAATAAGATCCATCGACAGAAAGCAAGTGTATTGTAACAAAATTGGCTGCCGTGTAATCAGGGGGATATGATTGACTATGTTAATATGAATAAATTTGTATCTGATCAATATAACGCCTAGCAATGTTACTGTTACCATTTTTCTTGTTACTTAATCTCCACGGGGGTATAGTTAAAAAAACAAGAGGAGGGGTGGGACACGATGGGTCCATGAGGTAGGCCATAACCGCGGTTAAAAAGTCTTTAAAAACATTTTATTTAATCATGTTTCAAGAAATTTACAGAGCTACATTTAACAAATTTATTATGAAGTGGAAATGAAAATGAAGAATGAATAATGGCGGTTTTAATTTATGAATAGGAGTTGATATCCAATTTGCTCATTTCAAACATAATTCTCAGCAAGACAGTGTCTGTACAATGAGGTGGAAACCCATTTAAAGCAGGGACCGAATCTTCATTTAACGGTATTATATTACTAAAATGAACGTAGTTATTTAGAGCATTGAATTGGTTTTTCATTTGGTACAAGCGTCCCTTTCTGTGATCACGGTGATTGTTGCAATTTCTGTTACCCTCATCATATTTCATATGAGATTCAGGATAGAAGTCAACGCAATGTTTTTGTGTCTGCTGAAATTGGTAAGTGCGCAGGTCATCAGCAATATTTCCGGTTAAGGTGTCATGGCGTCTAAAATTACCAATGCTATCTTTCTTTCGATTCGCCATGAATGTCATAGAACATGGTCTTAGTTTTTGACTGAATTCACCATGTGTGAGAGAAATGGGTGGAAATTTTGGTTTTCCTTTCAACATCGTCCCCTGTTTCGATGGATATTTGCCAAGTTCCAAAAGTTGCTCACACTTCACTGATGTGATCGGTCCAGAAGGATGAATAATTTTTCTCAGATTAAAATCATATTCGCTCTGAATTTTGAGCTGTTCGGCTACAGTATTTCCCCTCAAAGTAAACTTGACATCAGACGGATATCTTTTAACCACGGGTCCATGAAGAGGAATCTGTATTTTTCTATTTCTAGACTTACAGTGGTATTTAATCCTTGGTCTGAATGTCTGCGACAATTCAGCTGGGTACTTGATCTCACGAACCGAAACTGTCGATCTTCTCCTTTCTTGTAACGTTTTCTTCAGCAACATTTAAATCTTTTTTTTAACAGGAAGACTACTGGCGACTACCACTTGGTCATTAACACCGAGCTTGTCGACTTGTTCCTGTGGTTCCAAATTCTGTATTTAGTGAACAATCGAAAAACGTTTAAATAATCTATTGTTACGTCATACATCGACAATAACTACATTATGCAATTTTCGTTTATTGATATTAGTCACTGCCCACAAGATTCTGTGCAAATACAATCCAGAATACCGCTTGTTAGTCCATCCAGACGGGTTGACCAGTTAGGCTTCTCTCCTAATGTATACCTGAATAAAGATTGGAATTCCATAAGTCTGAGTGCACCCTTAGGCCCTTAGGATTTTATTGAAATCAAGATTGCTGCTCGGAATTAACCACTTCTGCCAATTCTTAGTGACCACTCGTGAGTGTTCTACCAGCTCTGAGTGACCAAATGTTAATGTTTTTGTTGAATATCCTATTTGTAGGCATAATAATCGGTCTCAATACTGATTGTAAATAAGACTTATCTCAAATTTATAGATTCGATTGATATTTTGAAAAAGGTCTTTCAGTACATTTTTCAAGTTTTAAGGAAAAAGAATTAGTTAAAATTCATGAATATATAACATAATCTTAAACCGTGCTAAAAGGACTTGTTTCAGCTTAACTATTATGTCGTTCGAACGATCATTTCGACTATAAGTCACGAACAGAGGCCATCACCCACAGTTGCACTAGCGGAAACATTACCTAATTTTTTTAACCTCGCCTTTTGTTTCAAATTTATAAAAGGATGTGTTCGATCTTCTTTCCGATTTTTGGAAAGTTGGACGTTTTATGTGAAAATGTTGCTTTTTACACTTTCGTTGTCTCTATTGATAGTACATGTTAACTGTTATGGAGAATTTAAAGACACTATTCCAAATGGTCACTCTGTTGTTAACCCTTGCAGTGCATTTGGATTGTCGTGGTCTGGAGTGGGTCACAGGAGTGCCAGTGGTGGAGGTGATTTAAATGAGTTCGGAACGGTATGTGGCTATGTTTGAACACTGGCTGGAGCTCAATAAACGAACGCATTCAACTGCAGCTCAGACTATGCTTTACAGTGATATACTAATAATATAATAAATAGCTTGATGATAGAAAATGCGAACCTGACAACAATTTTGCCATTCAACCAGGGCTAGCCTTGGAGGTATTTTTGTATTACGATCATTGGTTTTATTTATAGCCTCACTGCTATAGTATTCGGTTCCTTAATATGGTCAACCTTGAACGTTTCGCTAGTTCTCTGCAAAATATTTTCAACTTAATGGAAACTGCCGAGAGTTGCCAAATGATTCGGTTTAGCCCAATTTTAGCTACCAAAAGTTAACCCCACCTGACCTTCAACCCTTTTACGAAGTCTTTATATCTCTGATTTGCTGTACTTGATAGCGTACAATCCTATCAATCGCTGCATTCCATAATACAAGAAAGTGGCTATTGCTGTCAAGGTTTAAGGCGAAGTTCGTTATACCTTGATATTGTGAAGATGCTCTGATACAAACAGTTTCACATACAGGATATAATATATATAAAATCTTCCAGTTGACAATCAGGATATAACCTTCCACATAGCAGTCTAGTATTATATATATATATTAATCTTTAAAATATTCTCCATTCTTTTTTTCTTTTCTTGTTCATAATCGGTTTTACAGATTGTAATACTCATAACTCGATAGATTTATATTTTCAAACAAAAGAAAATTTAGCTAGTAAACTCTAGTTCTTTTTCCACTACGTTTTTTCTAAAGCTAGTTCTTGTTTCCACTACATTTAACCTAGTTCTTTTTTTCCAATAGGATTTATCTTCAGCTAGTTCTTGTTTGCCCCTCCGTATATACTAGTCCCTCCGAACAGTCAAGTCTGACTACGGTGATATGTGCTTTATTTAGATATGGGAGTAGTGGCAAATTCCTTCCATAAAACATAAACAAGACTATCAATATTGATGCCTGCATAAGTGGTCTTCCATAATTTTTGAATTTTTTCCAGGATTACGACAAGGCTGGTAGAACTTGGACCCAGTCATTGTGTATGAAAGATTCAGACGGAGATGGTTATACCAATGGTCAAGAACTAGGTGATCCCAATTGCGTGTGGACAGTTGGACAACAAATACAAGCAGAACCAATGGGACATCCAGGTAAATCAGGACACGCCGATTTTCTCTAACGTATGACAATGATGGAAATTCCGTTATAAACACGCTCAGTTGGAATAACTAAACCCTATATCATCTAAAAAAATTAAGTGCCCAGAATATCAACTTTCTACATCAAGGGATGTATGCCAAAGACTCGTATCCCCTTTGTTATGTAATACGTATTATCACTTGAATCCCTTTTTGCTATGCTTTTAATCAATGTGAGCTATCGTTATACAAATTGGAAACAATAAAAGATTGGTCTAAACAAAGCGTGTGTCGGTTGAAACGTGCAATATGACATGTGAAATTGAATTGAAGTAGGATAGTATTTGGTTTCATGAAGAAATTGGTGTTATTCTTGGATTTTTCTGAATACATTATCCATTCATATTCAGGTCGTCCATTGTGTCCAATTACAATTATAATGTAGACCAAGGGAGTCGACATTGCCTATATTATTGTCATTACTAATATACGTATTTTTATTTGCAGGTATATGTGAACCTATTGGCTCCCAGAATTGTCAACATCAACTTTTAAGATGTTAAAAAGCATAGTTGATTATCTGTAGTGTTATTATATCACAGTGACACAACCTATATACATACTGTCATATTCTTAATGTACAGATATAGAAAATTTTACACTCTTTTGTGCTTTGTTTAATTAGTGATCTTAAAGGGACATTTTGGAGGGGATGATTTGAGTTCAGAAGTACTAGACAAACAAAGAATTTCCTCTATATAAACTTCTTTTCTATATATGGCAGTGTTTCAAGAAAAGACGACTCCTTGTTTTATCTTTCAAACGCGGATAATTCTGGACACATGAGGATTTGAAGGCTAAAATTTCGACGGTGAGCTGTGAAGACTAGCCTATTACTGATTGGCTTAGCTAAAACAATTCCCGTTTCTATGGTAGGCCACGATTTGTTTAAAAAAAATGGCGCGTCTGTACCTTTTAAGTTGAACTCATTCATGTGAACAGAGCATTTGATTGTCAAGATAAGACCACTAATAGCTTACTCTACTAAAAAAGAACACGACAAATAGTAATTATCTCTTCGAACGAATGGGTAAATTAAATCATTGAGGTGTTTTTAGTCACAATATAGCGAGTGACCACTTCCGTTTTAGTCTTCGAAACGTTGACAAATGACAACATCATTCTGATCTAGATGAGGGAGGGGGCCTTGGATTTAATTGTTTTTGTTTAATTTTTTATTTTTTTCCTGGGGTCTTGGTCTGTGGACATGGTTCAACCAGTCTCTAGTTGATCCATTGTTTTTACCAATAAGAGAAAAATATTCTACTGAAGAAAAGCATTAAATTTCATACATTTTGCTCCCTTGAAATTTCATTAAAATTTTTTCATTGGTTTGTGTTTCATATTGTGTTTTTGATGGATTACAATTTATTTCAAAAATTTTCCAGTTGTATTGATGTTTTGGCGGATATCGTCCTTTAAATTGAAACGGAAAACATTTCATATTAATTTTCTTACAGCCTTTTAGCGGGGCAAATATAATACAACAAGATAATCAAAGAGCTATATATGGCAATTCTCAATCTGAATAGCTGCATATCTTTATGTTTCGTCTGATTTTTCTACACCATCTATGACCTAACAAAATGTCATAATTCATTAAAAGGAGGCCCATAATACGAGATAACCAATAAATATCTCAAAATTCCACATAAACTATTCGACAAGCGAAAATCCTCTACTGATCAGAGGATTTGATTGGTTAGATATTTCAAAGTAGCAAAGCAATTTCGTTGGATCACGGCAGACAAGCTGAGTCAAATTGTTTGTTATGTGATAAATCGCCAAAGCATAAACTTCCAAGATACTGAAACAAATAACTGTTACAAGAATCTGAAGGCGTTGCTAAAGAATATCCATGTGCTCACCAGGAGTGACAAAGTGCAAAATTGACAAACCCGTTACGTGTTCGCCAACCTTACGATAGGGCCTTTACTATTGCAATAAAAATACACAGGTCTGGTGTAAGAGGTTCGTTTCTAAGCGAAATATTTTGCAATAGATATGATTTCATAACATTGAATACACCGAATATTTCGCCTATACAAATAAAGTTTCGTTCCAATGATTGAAATGATCTAACCATAACACATACATAACAAAATTATATGTATTATGTACACTTATTAGTAAATGCCCATCATTGCGCCTTGTTTCTTTTACATGTGTAAAATGCACTGTAGGCCTAAAAGGTTGGCGTTTCTAGGAAACATTTGATTTAGGGGGTCGTCGTGCAGGGGCCACAAAATTTCCCAGGGGGGCCACAGGCTATTCTTTGATTGCGTAAATTGATAAAAAATTTGAAAGCCGGGGGCCAAAGCAGGACCATAGTCATAAGGTCACCAAAGGTCATGGTCGCGATATATGAGCATTGTTGAAAAAATTCAACCGAAAATAAAACAGAAAGTAGGCCTAAAATCGAAATTTGAAATCCACTTCAATTTTTTTTTCGCAATCTGAATGCACAATTATAGCTAACTTCAAAAAGAAGTTCAAATATCTTCGAAATTTCGCCCCTTGGGGTAAGAAGCCTCCAGGGGATATAACTCTAAAGTTTATCACCAGATGGCGTTAATATCTGTCTACGTTAGTCACGTGATCCCTAACGACTTCCCGCTATTTTTTGTAGCTAACTTGATCGAGGGCTTTCAGTTCATAAAAGGTTTGTGTCGGTTTTTATCTAATTTTTAGGGTGGGTGATCTCAATATTGTATGAAATAATGATCTCTATCTGTATTTTTGAAACCAGGTTTCTACTGAGATGATTTGCTTAACAAAAACAAACGTAGTGTTTATGATGTTTCTTGCTGACCTATTTACAAAATAGTGAGGGCTCTGGGGCAAGTCGCCCTTTTAAGCTCGGGGCAAGACGCACTTGGGGGCGTTTTGCCCCTCGTTGTGGGGCGTTTTACCCCTTAATAATTATTAATGATATTGATAATGGTAGTATCATATCTTCGTTATTTCAGATATGGTTCGTCACTATACAAGTGCACCTCAAACCGAGGAGGTTATGGCAATGATGCTTTGAGAGATGCCCTACAAGCTTTCGAAAATGGTGGCACCCTGAAAGGACATTGCGCAGACATATGGACAATAAAGTATTGCAGCCAGGCCGGAGTGTTTTGGTAAGATGATCAGTAATACCAAAAGAGTTCGAACAAGAACTTGTTGTACACATTCAAGCAATGGAGTGGGCCCTCTTCGGATTAATCTCCTTTGATGTAAGAAGGTTAGCTTATGAACTTGCAGTGGCATCAAACTTCGAGCACCCGTTCAATAAAGCAGCGAAAATGGCAGGGGTAAGTTGATTGGCTTCAAGGATGATTCATGACCCGCCATAAAGAACTGTCTATAAGAACAACCAGCATAATGCGTGCAACGGGTTTCAATAAGATAAAACAGACCAGTTTTCAAAAAAGCTATAGAGAAGAACTGACTAGAATTCCAAATTAAACACCGGACCGATTATGGTATGTGGATGAAAATTATCGTATCAAAAGCAAGTCAGTAAGGTGACTAGTGGAGAAAGAAGAATAAATGTCACTGCTGTTTGTGCTATATGAGTGCAAGTGGAATTTATGTTCCGCCAATGCTTATTTTCCTCGCAAGCGCTTGAATGATAATCTAATCAAAGACGCACCTCCAGCATCAATAGCGAAAGTGTCAGATTCTGGATGGATAGACAGCGACATATTCATAGATTGGTTAAACCATTTTATAAAATATGCTGGCTGCACCCGAGAGAATCTTAAATGCAGTGACATTGGCACGCTCAAAGGAATTGGTAATGATTACCCTACCTCCGCACTGCAGCCATAAAATGCAGCCTCTTGGCAGAACTTTTTTCAAAAGCCTTAGAAGCAACTACAATCGTATAGTTGATACCGGTACTTTGATGTCTGCCCATCCTGGTGGAAGAGTTACGGTATATGAGATGGGCTATTTATTTGGTTACGCTTGTACACGAACGCAGCCACTGTGTATAAGGCTGTTAAGGGTTTTGAATGTACAGGAATTTGGCCCTTTGATCCAGATCATTTTAATGACGAAGACTTCATTCAGCATCAGCCACAGATCAAGAACCCACTAATGTGGTCGATAAAGAAAACATTACCGTCGTAATAACTGCCGAAAGACTTGTAAGCCCCACCTTGTCATCATTACCTACATCGGCATTGGCACCTCCGATATATATCTTCACCAATACCAACACCTGCTGCATCGTTTATAGAACATCTAATAAGAATAAACCAGCCGAGATCATTTCTCAGTTATCCCCAATGCCGAAAGTAAAAACTTCAGCACCCAGAAAAAGAAAAGCGTATATACCGTGCTTTCATCATCGCCGTATAAAAATGTCCTTGAAGAAAAAGAAGAACGAAAATTAGAAACTCAGAAAACTCCCAAAAAAGTTCCAAAACCAGTAAATCAAATAAATTTGGTAACGGTTTATGATACAGAATGCATATATTGCACAGAGCTTTTTTCCACTAGCAATGAGGATTTGATTCAATGTATTAATTGTCGTGGGTGGGCGCATGTGGGTTGTGTGTGTATATTATTTATCTATTTGATACACAAAGAAACACGGAATTAATTATATCCTCACGGTCGAAGTCGATCTGAAAGTCTGTAAATCTTAGAGATGTAGATCTTAAATCTGTAAAATGAAACAAGTATCCTTTGTCTCAAAGAGGAAGCGAGATAAGATGCCCTCTTGGGGCTTTTTACCCCACCTTCTTGGCATCTTGCCCCGAGGACGGGGTAAGATGCCCCTTAATAGAAAATAAGTAATATGACTGACAATTGACATTAATATGACTGACTCTACATACCATTCAAACATAATTTACGGTACGTCTTTACTTTCGTCGAAACAGCATCGAGTCCTTAGGGGGTGCGTATTCCCCCATGTTACCCTATCTGAGTTTACATTTGAAATAGAAAATAGTCCAAGAATAGCTTGAAAAAATGGTTCAATAGTCTGATAACCTTCGGACATACAAAACAAAAAACTGGATGACTGGACTACAAAATAGGACAAAACTTGTGGTTACTTCCCTTTTATTCATGGCGATCAATATTACCAGAGAGTATAGCTCTGATATTACTGACTATAGACTAGCCTAGTCAGTTATTATCTGGATCATAAACGACTGTTAGTTACTTACTATGGTTATTAGTTAAACTGCGCTGAAAGGTTTAATAAATTTCTAATCGTTGACCAAAGATGTAGATATCAAAATCGGAAGATACTGTTTTTTCTTAACAATTGATGAAATTCCGAAAGCTTAAAAATACTACCTACTGACGACAGAGTGGAAGTGTGAAATGTCAACAATTCGCCTCCGGTAGCCCTATTTGTGGTATATCCAGAGACTTATACGAACAACTACACCTACTACCATCCCATCAACCATTTGTAGCTAACAAAGCTGGCATTTAGGACCACAGGCTCATCACACACAAATTCAAATCAACAATCATGAGAGAAATCTAGATTTACATCACTGTGTAAGTGTAAATTAATGTCTAAACCAAAAGCAATTTGAAGTCAGCCTAGGCCCTATCTTTATGTGAAATGAAGGAAAGGAAATGAGTAAGTCTTGTACATAGCAGGCAAAAATATCTGTATATCTTGATAAGACAACTGAGCAAGCTGGTAATTAACCAGGTAATTAAATTTTTTTGAAAATTGATGTACTAAATCTTATACAATAAAGTTATATAAAGAAAATTTTAGTCAGGTAAATATAAATCAAATAAATATTGATTTTGCCATAAGCTTATTTTAAAATGATTATATTACTACACTTTATGATAAGATTTACTTAAAGAAAAAGTCAAGCTAGAAAACTTGTACACAGAACGACCAAGTTGTATTTGAGATTGAATAGATAGTAAGATAGTTGTCGCTACAAGGTGAATATTTCCTGTGAATCAGTCAAATTTCTTATTTACTAATACGCTGCCATTTACCCATGTGAGGAAAGAAAAAAAGCGGTAAGACACTTAGATGGGCATGATTACTATGGTTTTTAATATTTTTAACTGTGCCTGGGAAAACGAACTGAAGTGCCGTCGATAAAGAAACTCAACAGGTTGACCGCTAAATATCCACTGCGTTGAATCTATACCATCCTAACGTATATTTATTTCTACATACTGGTACTAGCCAGAATCATTCCTGGATCTGCATATTATGTCATTCTTTTTGAATATACTTTTATTTTTTCTTTTTCAGAAAGTTAAAGTGGATCTGCTGAATGCTCAGGATATTTGTATTTAACTGTGATCAAAATATTTTTGTGATTGAAACATGGCAGTGTGTGAGAAAGTCAATACTTTCAGAATATTAAAGATTTTATTGTTGTCGTGCTTAACATTAGTTTTACTTCAATACATCATCAACCTAGTGGTTTACAATTCAAAATCCAACATTTTTGGAATAGAGATTTTTCTCCAGCATTATATCAAAAGCCAGGATGGAACACCAAAGCCAACCGACTCAAAATTACTGGTGACAAATATATCTCGCTCCAACATTCCATTAAGTACATCTGTAAATAATACCATGACAGTTTCTAGAGAGGCATTATCAAAAACAACACCAAAAACTATAAACACAACCAAAATAGTTGTTAGTACTTCTAAAACTACTAGCACAAAAATTGAAAATAAAAATATTAGTACATCACCTAGCATCACTCTACCATTATGCCCTTTGGTACCGCCAGCTTTAGGTAAGTATTAGACTGAATATTTTCAAATAATTGTATGACTGAAAAATGTCAGTACAGAGGAATTTTGATGAAAGATGGGTTGTCACATTTTTCTTTATTAAAGGGACAAGTTCACCATCCGCTTGACCAATTGTACCGTTGTCTAGGAGGGGGGGGGGGATTTTTTAGTTACGCTAATTACTAATATTGTTTGAATCTTGCCGTCAAAATTTTTGCCTTCAAATCCATGTATATATACAGAATTATCAATGTTGGAAAGTTAATAAGATGAGTTGTGTTTTTTTTTCGTTTATAGAAAAGACAAGTTAAATTTCTAATTTGAGATATTTTTGAAGGAATTATGCAATTTTCATGCAGTTTTAGTACTTCTGAAGACTATAATCGAGACCCAAATCAACTCTTAAAAATGGTGAACAATGGCCTTTAAATATATTAATGAATTATGGTACTATTATTCTATATAAATAGCTTTTCATTGATGGAAATATACTAGTTTGTCTTATACTACATGTACAAATTAATGCATAATTAACTAAATCTGGGAATTACATATCGATCAGTCACCTCGAAACAATGTCTCTTGTATTGTTCATGATCTATTCCATCAAATTTCATTCGTACAGTGCCATTAGGTGTTCAGAAAGGATGAAATTTTCCCGTTTCTGTTGTTACAATTGCCAAAATGATGATTGTAAGGAAAAAAAAAAATTTTATCTGGCACTTTTTCTTTTTTGATACTCAGTGATACTGTAAATCTGTGTTTGAGAATAACGAAATAGATTAAAATACAATGAGTACAAGTTGTTGACATTCACTTATTCACGCTACTGAAAATTTACAAGAAATCACAATCTAAAATTGTCCAACTGTGACAGTTTTAATTTTACAAGAAAATGCCCATGCATGAGCACAGAAAAAATTATTTTATTTCATAAACCATAATTATAGTCTGTATTCAATATATTACGAGGTGTCTTGAATCATTCATGGAAATGAATGGTATAATAATATCTTACGACTTAAAATGTATATTTTTTAAGAGCTAACAGTGTTAGCCAAGTTAAAATTTAAAGGGTGGTAAAGACGTAACTAATTGCAAAGGTAAGCTATTAGATCAATACCAGTATAGGAATTTATATCGTTAGTAATATGGCCTTATTAAAAAATATGGAAATATGGCCAGAAATATGGCCAAAAATATTCCAAAATTCAAAATGGAATGGTGCAAATGGATGCTATAAGTGTCCCCGATACACGTAAAAATTTGAGAAAACCTCTTTACAATCCCTTTTAAATTGCAATTACCAGTAGAATATGGTTGCTAATTATGAAAGTGGTCATGTGTTCCAAATGCAACTTCACAGTGAAGCAAATTGTGAATGAGTTGCCAATATTTAGTAAGAAATGCCGCCATCTTGTAAGGGGAGATAACATAAAAAGGCTAGAAAACCTCTTTACAATCCCTTTAATTAAAAAAAATGTCCACAAAATAAGCTTTATATATTGTTTGTTTTTTCAGTTGGTGCCTTAGCAACTTACACTTCTGCTACGACTTTTGATGATGTTTATAAAGAAAATCCTGTCTTAGAACCAGGAGGCCGTTATCATCCAAAAGATTGTGTCGCACGTCATCGTGTAGCCATTATTATACCTTATAGAAATAGAGAGAGTCAGTTGAAAATATTTCTCAAAAATATTCATCCTATATTACAACGTCAACAATTAGACTATGGTATTTATGTGATTGATATGGTAGGTTTTTTATGATTATCGATAATGAACCTATAAACAATAGACCTTATTTACAACCCCGTTTTGAACACATCAAATTCAAGGCTCGTAACGCTAATGACATCATCCATTGAAAAGATGGCAACGTTATATGAAGGAATATTCTCTATGAAGTCATTAAAAACTCTGGTCAACGTGTACATAGTTGGCTTAAAACATAGGAACTTTATCAGAAATGTGTGAATATAAACTTCATCTGAAATTACATTAAATAGCTTAATCAATATTGTTATTTTAATGATCAATGTAAAAGATCAGGATAAGTTTTGAGTTAGTGAGATTGGAGAAAGACGGTCAAAGTGATGGTTTCGCTGTAGTGCCATTCAATATGGCTGACGCCTGAATTAGATCTTTAAGGTCTTTTCTTGTGCACCTATGGTTCTATTTGGGAAGGTTCAACCCATTTCCACGGATTGCTGTCCTAATGAGGATTTTGTTTCTTGAACACGTGATGTGAACAGTTCACATTTCAGCACAGATTTATATGTTGCAACCATTCAGTAAGAAATAATGAAGACAATTTTAATTGAAACTTATTGAATGTTATATCCATTTTTGCTCGTATACTTGCAGGAATTACCTACACAGTTTAATCGAGCTATGTTAATGAATATTGGTTACAATGAATCGTTGCAAATCTACGATTATCAATGTTTTGTGTTCCATGATGTTGATTTAATACCAGAAAATGATAAAAATATTTACTCGTGTCCAGAGAGTCCCAGGCATATGTCTGTTGCTGTGGACAAATTTAGTTACAAGTAAGTACATTTAGTTATAAATTTTACTGTGTTGGTCTTAACAATGACATTTTTGCCCCTACTGGTTTCTCAAAAGTGATAAAAGGATGTGATATATCATCACAGACCCAAAAGTTCTAATTTTATGGGAGTTGCTTTGATTCATTTTTGGATTTCTTCCCCTGACTAAAGCCAAATTAAGCTGAACAATTAATGAAGACATTTATATAGTGGATATATTCTGCCTTACAATACGGTGCAGGTGCCACAATACAATTGTTGAGGGGTAGGCTTAACTTACAGGTTTGAGTGAGGTAGTGAAAATCATACCCTTGACTGTATTGTGGTACCACTTTCATGGAACTTGTTTCTATTTCTTGCTTAGTTGCTTATTGGTCACACTTAACTCTCTTTGTTGGTTATTTTTTTTATTTTTAATTTAACATGCTAGCTTTGTATTAATCACAGCAAACCTACTTTTATTTGTTCTATATATTGATAAATGGATAGATCAATATTCAACAAACCATTGATTGTATCATATTGCATGGTCATGTATTGATTATTGATGTTATAATCAGCCCTGTTACCAGGAGTGAATTGTTGCTGAGACTCGAATTTTCTACTCAGAAAATTTGAAGCATTAAAGACAACTCGATTTTGAAAATTTTGAGGTGCCAAAAACGTATTAAAATCTATATGTTTTTTGATTTTGTACAAAGACACTGTAAATGAATCAATCTCTGCTGAACTGAAGAAGGTTTTGCTAGGGCTTAAATCTCTCTTGCTGGGGTCCAGCCCCCACAGACACCACCCTAACGATGGGCTGTACACTAGACAAAATATTTATGTGTATATAATTATTCTTTATCCAAAAACATGGAAAGTTCCATTTGTGAAGGAAACGTTGGCAACAATAAGCCTATTGAAAATAAATAACTAGAAATTTTAGTTTGTTCTGATCTGAAAGTAAAAAAGTAAAAAAATCATTGAAACATTGAAGAGAAATTATGCATTTTATCTGTTACCCCATTTTACATATCATATTATATAACTCTATTATATCATGGTCATATGTGATATGATTAGCAGTACTCAGCTCTAATACTTTAAAAGGGGGCATTATGACCTTATGTATTTTGAACAAAAATTTTGCCCAATTTTATGAAAACAGATAAATGTATCCCGAAACGTATCTGAAAGTGTTAATCAACAGAATCCTGCTGTTAATGAAGAACAATAAACGCCTGATTGTAGAGAAATATTTTCCCACTGATTCTATTTCAATAAATAATATCGAGCCATTATAAAGCCTAACACCAAAACTAGTTTAACTGCTTCAGTACACTCCATTTGTAATAAACCCTTTTACAACAAATTCAGTTTGATCAAGCAGATACAGAGAAATGAATAAGCTTAATATATCTAAGAAATATTTTCAAGTATGATTTACAGTTTTGATAACGAAAATATTGAATACCGGTACTGACTCTTTAAACAAGACTAAAGTAATAATGAAAAGAGTATATTGAAGTGCATTGAATGCAATCATTTGGTACTTGCATTGTGAATGTGAGGATGTGTTTTATTTCTATTAAATTTAATGTTGCTTGTTCACATTCCTTTCAATCTTGGTATAATCAATCATACTTTAGTCAGAAGCCAGAAATGGCTTAGCTAAGCTAATGAGTTATAGTGTTCACAGATTAGCTTAAATATTTGATCCTTCAGTTGTATCTATAATTATCCGTGTTTGAAAGTTTATTGAGGATTTGTCTTTTCTTCGCCATGTTGAATAGAGAAAATTTAAATTAGAAATTGATAGTTTACAAAAACTCCACACCATATTTTCTTGTATGAAACTTGTTGACAAAATGTATAATTGTCACACATGGTAGAAACTAGAGAAGATAGATATAGAAAGATAAATTTCTAGTTTGAGGTATATTTTAAGGGATTTTGTGATTTTTGAATTTTTGAAGACTATACTGTATGTTCAAGACCCAAATCTACCCCATAATGCACTTCAACATAGGTTGATAAAAAATTTTGCTAAAATTTTTGAGTACAAAATCAAAATCAGTTAGAGTGTTGAAAGCTCAGTTTTAAAATATTTAGTCTTCAAATCCATGTGTGTCCAGAATTATCCATATTTTTATGTCGATTCAACTTTTCTTGATATGTCATATATAGAAAAGATAAACAGAAAAATAGAAAGTGAGATAAAGATAGAAAGTGTGATAGAAATAGAAGGTGTGATAGAAATAGAAAGTGTGATAGAAATAGAAAGTGTGATAGAAATAGAAAGTGTGATAGAAATAGAAGTGAAATAGAAATAGATAGTAAAATGAGATAGAAAGTGAAATAGAAAGTGAGATTGAAATAGATAGTAAAATAGAAATAGAAAGTGGGATAAAAAGTGAAATAGAAAGTGAGATAGAAAGTGAGATAGAAATAGAAAGTGAGATTGAATTAGAAAGTGAAATAGAAATTGGCCTTTAAATATGATTATCAATTATTATTAGTCTATATAAATAGCTGTTTATTTATTTTATTATTTCTGAAGACTATTTACAGATATTGAGACCCAAATCAACCCTTGAAAATGGCATCTGTTCGTTTTAACAAAATGTTATATGAAATAAGTAAACAAACATCTTGTGAATTATAATATTTAGAATATATAAAAAAGAAAAATATCAAATAAATCATACAAATATGGAAGTACCTTGAATTATAAAGCTGAGTGTTTGTTTATCACTTACTATATATGATTATGTTATAATGACATATAATTTTCGATGTAACTCAACTTGCTTACTAGATTTTTATGCCATTTATCATGTACATTATCATTTTTATGATTAAAGGGATAGGTTCACAATTTTTGGGGGGTTAATTTGGATCTTGAATATTTGTAAATACTCTTCTGAAATACTAGAAATTGCGTCATTTCTTCAAAAATATCTTAAACTAGGCATTTCACTTTCTATTCTTATATAATTATGTCTTGTCAATATAAGACAGAGTCTCTAGAAAAGAGGAGTGGTCTTTTAAACTTTCTAATGAGGATAATTCTGGACACACATGGATTTAAAGGCTCAAATTTTGACAATGAACACTATTATCGATAAGCTTAGCTATTAAAAAAAACCTGTTTCTGGTGGTGAACCTGTCCCGCTAACTTGTAAAAGAAATTCTATATAGTATATATGAAGTCTCTGATTGATTGTATAATACAAACTCTAACACAAGTTTCCAAACTTTCAACCATCACAGCCTTCTTCATTGGAATTAAATTACAACATTAACAATTTCAACCCTAGCAGCCGGTTTACCGGCCACAAACTAACTCAATATATACCTGAGCAGCTGTTAATTAGTGACATCATACAACATGTCATAGTCTTTTTACTTTTATTACTTGGAGTTCAGGGTATATGATGTTATATTTCATTTATACTCAGGATTCAAAGGGTTAAAAGCAAGCATTATGTCACATGGAAACATGACGTTAAAAAATAATATTTCTATATAAATAAAGAATATGTATGGAATGGTAAAATTTGTCATCACAAGTGGTTGAAATTGTCAGTCGTATGTTATTCACCAGTCTTCTTCGAGTTTTTCAACAAATGACAGGAATATTATTGAATATAATAACAGCTGCATCATATCATGATTTAATTATTACAAATCATTTTACTATAAACATTAATCATCCTTCTTTTATTGCTTGCTCAACATATGTTACTCTGTTTTTATTGTGTTCATCAATTTGCATTCAGTCTCATTTCAAGTTCAGTCTGCAATTATTGACCAAATAATACATATAAATTGCACATATAATATAAATTGCACATATAATATAAATTGCACATAAAATATAAATTGCACATATAATATAAATTGCACGTATAATATAAATTGCACATAAAATATAAATTGCACGTATGATATAAATTGCACGTATAATATAAATTGCACGTATAATATAAATTGCAGGTATAATATAAATTGCACGTATAATATAAATTGCATGTATGATATAAATTGCATGTATAATATAAATTGCACGTATAATATAAATTGCACATAGATTACACATATATAAATTGCACATATAATATAAATTGCACGTATAATATAAATTGCACATATAAACTGACATATATATGGCTGAAAAATGATAATTTCAAAATATCCTGGTAAATTGATAGCAGAGCTAAAGCCCACACAAATGAAACCAAAAATGATGTAACTTGTTTTTAACTGAGAAGTTTTCCATCATTACTGCCTTATGCTTCTTTATACAAATGTTCCGAACTCGTCTCGAAATGTAGACATGAAAATAAGTTCTACTTCTAATTCTATACTGGTGAAAATAGGTCCCATATAACTGAATAACAACATGATTCAAGTTCTGTTTTAATATTTCTAAATTGACCATTTTCAAATTTGTACACATTAAAATTTGCTTGCAGTAAAATCTGCATAGAAGTAAATGGGTATATCATCTTCACAATATCAAGCTATTACAAACCACTTCTTATACCTTGACTTTCTTGGAATTTTTTCTTGCATCAACAAATACAGCGATTTCATTTGATTGTATGCTAGCAAATACAGAAGTCTCATCATAAAGACTGTAAAGATTACGGCTTAAGCTTCACAGATTTTTTGTCAATCTCTGATTGGCTGTATTTGGCTACATGACGATCAAATCAAAAGACCTCCATAGAAATAGTGAGTCAAATTCCTACTTTGAGATATTTTTGATGGATCATGCTAATTTCGTACATTTTTTGTACTTCTAAAGACTATTTACATGTATTCAAAACTCAAATCAAACCCCTATAATGGTGCATCTGTCGCTTAAAAACAAATTTACAAAATAATATTCCTAAAAGACCTACATTAGCTGAAAGTGTGTTATAATCTTTTCTCCTAGTGTCAATATGTTAATTTAAGTGCAAGCTGCCACACAAACCAAATGTACCGTGTAATTGAAGTATGATTGACCTACTAAAAGGGACATGTTCGCCATTTTCAGGGGTTGATTTGGGTCTTATATATATGTAAATAGTAGTGATGGACAGTGATGAACACACCCCATTTAATGAACATGCACTTGTTTTATGGCTTTATAAATTAATTTCATAGTTATTTTGTTAATTATGATTGGTTTGATCAAATTACTTTTTTTATTTGCATTTATTTTTTATTTAGTAACATCGCTGGACTTTCAACGACAGATAATCGATTGTCGGCGACAATCTGAACATAACTAGTAAAAGTCTCCAGAAGTACTATAAAAAATTGCATCATTCCTTCAAAATAGTAGTTCCACTAAAATTGTGTGTTTAATGACATCACTTATGTGATAAAACATATTTTGCTATTAGTGACTTCATTAAACACTTAGTGGAATCGCAGAAACCACCGACGTCAATTAACTATTGGAATGGTGCAAATTGATGCTAACAGTGTCCCCGATACACATATACAAAAAGTTTAGAAAACATATTTACAATCACTTTAAGTACTGGATTTTCTTAAAGCAGATTAACAATAAGATTGTTTTATAAGTTTGAGAAATAGTTCTGTTGAAATGAATGTATATAAAATAGGTGATTGTAATCAATAATGTATTATCAAGCTATTCTATCAGTGGTATAGTACATATTGTTTAATTTGACAATAATCAATATTTCTATATAGCTGGTATACTTACAGCTTTAATTTATATATCTCTAAGAAATATGTAGGGGTAATTACCATTGCTTGATGAACATTAGGTCAATTTCGAGTATAGTCACAAACTGGTCAATATTCACACTATTCAACCATCAATTTTATTTCTTACAAATTTATAAATATCATTTCTATACATTTTTGCCCAAAATATGTGTCAGAATGATATGAATTCTATTTTTCAAAGAATTTTCTTGGGGAAGAAACCTGTCACTTGTATTATGGTTTGCGTGGTAGTTCCACAGAGCTGCGCATTTTTAATTTCAACCTTGACTTTTGCCCCCCCATAAAGTCAGTCTGCCCCCTATTTGTCTTGGAATGCTGGCATTACTACTGATTTGAATAAAAATATGACCCACATCAGTCTTTTATATTAGCACACTCTCATAGTTTCTTACTGTCTCACACATAATTCCAGTCGACCCTACTGTAAATGGGTACGGATAATCCTGGGAAAGATCAATGCCAATGTTTGGCCAATGACCAGCTGGTAGAAAGGATCTGTGAAACTAAGTTGTTATCCATGTAAAATATAGTAACTGTTGTTTCTTTCATTCATAAACACTAGAATCTACCATTTTCAATCAAAATCAAATTATTTTTGTTTTCATAGTAATTTGGGCAGTATAGAGCACCATTTTCAACTGATTTTCATGAAATTTGATATGTGTGTATGTCATCAAAAGGGTGAATTCTTCAACCAATTTTCATGTATTTGACCAAGGCTCACTATTGCTAACTCTTATTAATAATATTAAGTTCGAAGCATCCCTTTAAACAGCAATTATTTGCTCTTGGATTTCTTATTGAGTTTTGATAGAGTGTCACAATTGTTTTGGTTTGAATTATGATTGCTATACACAGACAGCTGTTATGTAATTACCGGTAGTTGCTTTATCAATGTCATATTGATACACTTGTCAACATTAAAATCTGTTGTCTTGTTAATCTACAATAAGATAAACTGATACCATTTTTTGTCCTTTTTATCATGTTTATACAGAATACATAGCATATATATGTAAGCTTTGCTTTTACTAATTCATAATATAAGCCAAAGTATCATGGTTGTGAAGTTCTTATCCCATAAGTGAATTTGGAGAAAATTGTCAAAACTGTTAAAGATGGGTTCCCTTATTTTCATTCATGAAAATGACAATGCTAATACTTATAGATGAATAGAAAGTAGGTGTGTTCTAATGACTTGGAAAAATACCAGTTTGTCTCACATGTCCATAATCAATTCATAATTAGCTAAATTAGAAGGGAATTACCACCAGAATTCCAATGAGTGACCGATCAAGAAAGGTCAAAAAGTCTTTTTTTGTTTATCCAGACTGTACATACATGGACATGATTGTTTAAAACTTAATTATATGCAATAAGAACATAATGATATTATTAAGAATACATGATAATTAATTAGAAACACTGATTAATCAAATAGTTTGCTTAATTCAAAACTAAAATATATGGAAACCAATCTTTAACTTGTTTCATTTTTTGGTCTGATATAAGAGATAAAGATTGGCTGTGCGACCAGTTATCCCTGATTATCAGTGACTAGTTTCGTTCCTGTTTGAACTCTTCAGACTGGTTAGACTCACCTTGCGGGGTTCTATTTATACTGTTAATGGACCCAGTGGAAGGTTACCGGGGTATGGGTTTTACCGGGGTTGCCGGAGTTCGTAAGTATCGGGGTTACCGGGGTGGATTTTTACCAGGGTTACTAGGATTGGTTTTGGTTCCAAGGTAGGAGGGTTTATGACTTCACCAGACTGTCTGGGTTAAGAGAAGCTGGGAGAAATAAGAGTAAAGCTAACTTGGAAGTTGGATAACCCATCTAGTTGTTATTTTACTTATGAGTAAATTCAGCACATGAGTAAATGCATCCTTAAAGGTAATTTTGAAACAGAAGCTTGTTTTAATAATTACTTAGTTTTATGGATATATTGTCTTATAACTTATATAGATATTCTATACTTTAGTGATGGCACCTGATAAATCCAACTGATGAATATGTATTGGGTGACCGCTTGAAACCTTGTATAACGATATATGATGCAAAATTACTTATCGAGAAAAGTGCAAAAAACTATTTGTATGCATATTTTGTTAAAAAAATTTGTATACATGTTTTTCATACTTTGAAAATTTAAACTTAGTATAACAATTTGAGTACTCCAGCCTATGCAACCAATAACTTGTATAATAGTACAGTATACAAGGTTTTTTTTGTATTCATCCGCAGAAAACAAGGTTTTAAATCTGGCGGTTTATATAAGTGTTATTTAATTAGTGGTTTTTGGGTTATTTACAATCAAGCTAAGAATACGAGGTTTTTATCACAAGATTCCCGCTTTCAGACGGCACCAAAATGGCATATACGAGGTTTCAAGCGGTCACCCACGATATACACTTGTTGACCAAGTTTGAGACTCTGAATTTTACGTTGATTCTAAGAGGTAGTATCCTTTTAAGTTCAAATTTGCCTTATTAACCATTGCATTTAATTTGACAAGGATTTTTTCAGATTTACTCTAGGGTGAGAAAAGATGTGCATTATAATAGCAATTATATGGTTTGCAAAAATTACATAGGAGAGTACAATTATCTCATCTATTCTCTTTATACATTGTTCTTACAGATTACCTTATGCCAGTATATTTGGTGGTGTGAGTGCCTTAACCAAAGAACAGATGATTAAAACCAATGGTTTTTCTAATAAATTTTTTGGTTGGGGAGGAGAAGATGATGATATGTATTCAAGGTGAGATTAGATTATCTTCTCTTTAATTTATCTTGATTCACCAAGGGTGTATGAGTCAAACTACATCTAATCCTGGGCAATGTTCTCATCGTATACAAAATGGTATGTGCTGAAGCAAATTGTCTATGAGTTTTGGAATCTGCATGATATACACATATTGTGTTACGAATATAAACACACATGAAAAAACATCTTTCAGTTGATATATGAGCATGAATGAACTGTTTGGACTCAATTTTTACATGTATAGTAGGTGATACTTTATGATGGAGGCCATCAAGATCTTAGCATTTTTTTAATTATGAAAAATATTGAGTTTTTATTAAATTATTCATCTTTGTGTAACATGAATACCCAGAATGAAACAATCATATTTGGTATTGTTAATGAACGGACACAATATTGTCTGCATATTAGTAAACAACCGTTTAAGGTGCAGAAAATCCCTGTAAAATAAGGCCAAGTTTTTCTGACCCTACATCCAACAACTGACAAAATAACTAAGGGGCTTGAATAGAGACAGCTATTTCTGACTAAGATAATCTATGAAAGATCTATGCCAAGAACCAGCTGGTAGAAAGAATTCTCCCAAACCAAATCTGACAAAAATTCTTGAAACTTTCTTTTTCAATTTTAAATAGAGTTAATAAGATAAAGTTGGCTAGTGAGGGTAGAGAGCAAAATGAATTCATTGATACCTAGCGGAGTCATAGTTTTGAGCTCGTGGATCCAACGGTGCTGGGTATTGTCAATCATTCCATGATACAATACGTATTGTGATACAAGGGTCACGATACGATACATATTGCGATATGGGGTAATGGGATAAAAAATAACATTTTATCTTCAAAGTTTCTATATATATATATATTAATTTTAACTTTATAACTGTGATATTTGGTAATATAGTTGATAGAAGTGATCGACAGTCTAACAATTTCAGTGAAAAAATTTTTGTATATCATAAAACAACTTTTTGATGGCATAAAAGAGATTGCCAAGTACTGATACATGACATGACATGACACTAGGATCCAATGTACATAGTTAGATAAAGTTAATTTTTGTGTTTTAGAATCCGTAATAAAGGTTATAAGATATCCAGATATTCTGTAGATGTGGCTAGATATAGAATGATAAAACACCAAAGAGAAACTTCAAATCCTGTAAATAAAGATAGGTAAGTTCTATTACTCTGTTACTGGATTCAATTACTTTTTTGTATCTCAATTACTCTTCAAAAAAAGCCAGTAATTATTTGAAGGTTCAATTACTCTTAGTAGGCTCAATCACTAATAGTAATTAAGCTCCATTACTCCTAATAGGCTCTGTTATATTTTATGAGCCTAAGGGAAAACTGTCTTCATTCATATTACCCAAAAAATTTTAACAACTTATCTTGAATCTGAGTAATGTAATTTCAAGAACCACCGACATCTGATTAAAAATTGGAATGATGCATATCAATGTTATAAGTGTGTCTCCGATACACTTGATAATTTTAAAAAACCTCTTTACAATACCTTTAATGACTTGTAGCCCTATATATCTTGTAAATACATGTATGTTTAAATTTATTGGATAAGAGGTGTATTTTGCAGCTTGTTTTTTACAAGATGTACAGTAGTTGATCTCTTAAAATTGTGCTAATAAAATGGATTATTATTGTTTAAATAGATATAAATTGATGTCTGGTGGTAAAGCCAGACAAGATAAAGATGGTGTTAATAGTTTAAAATATATTGTGATCAAACGGGAATTTAACCCTACATACACCTATATACTTACTAAAATAGATAAAGATGCAGTCATGAAGGTAAGTTATTGTCATATGGAATAAAGTGACACTGAATATTATATCCTATTTGAATGTGTCTGATTGGGCTTATGAAGACAGGCAATATCAACAACTCTTTAGCAAGGAAGGCAACATAAGCTTAGGCCTACTCTTTTTGGATCTCCAACAACCAAGAAACCTTGGGGCTCTGACCTCAGTTTATTGACCATTTAAATGACTAGACAGGTTTATGATATCTGTTCTGCTGACTTGTGACAGATAGAACCTTAGAGCTCCCTTAGTGAGCTTAGTCAGCACTGCAAATAAGTCGAAGAAAATTCACTTATTGGAAAGCTAAGATTTAAAAGTAGCCATTTTGCTATTTCCAGATCATGTGATGATAAGACATGATAAGTTTCACGCTAAAAAAAAGCCTTTCCCCATCAATTATTTTACCAATTTAAAGATTTTTTCCTGCTGGAGACCAGATATTTGGCATATATTGAAAGGGAAATAACTCTTGTAAATTTTGCTAAGTACCCACTTTCTACAAAATAGGATACCAAAGTTTACTCTGCACAGGCAGACTGACATAGCCCAAAAGAATTGCCATTGACTTTTGAATTTTAATATGATGTTTTATGTATATTTTAGAGCTAGTGATTCAGAACATGTGATACAGTAAAACTTTTTTGTTAATTGGTTATTTATACAAGTATTTGTGGAAACCCCCCATGTAAATCCCTAGTGTATGTTTTATGTCTAGTGTGTGAGGGTTGCAGAGACCATGTAAAACCTGGTATATGGCTTATATTATATTGTTACAAGACCATGTCTTGAAATGTCTTAGAGGGAAATATGTTTCTTTTCAATGTCAACTTACGAAAAATTATATTTTCATCAACGCAAAGACATTCTAAGACTAACATTACTATTTTGAGTCTGATTTTCCAATTCTCTTTAAAAAATATAGAAAAAATTGCTTTGCTTAGACAATACTATAAGATGTAGTAAAGAATGAACATAACATTTAAAAGAATTAAGCTCTGTAATCATATCACATATTATAATTTACATATTTAGTATTGAAATTATGATCATATGTGAAGTGTGAGATAGAAACTAGCAGTAAATGTCACAATGAATCTCAGGATTAAAGAGATACCGTCATCTAAATATTTGCTTCAGCGACTGATTGAGCTCAATTTCAGCTTTCAATAGCAGTAATCAAAATGAAATTCCAATTTGGTGTCTTCCATGCAATCTACAATTCAACAAAATTGCACAGTGCCAACATATGTTGAAGTTGAGAAATTTCAAAAATGCTAGGCGCTGAGGCAGCAAATATTTAGATGCACATATCCCTTTAAATGAGTTGATCAAGGTGCAATTCTGGATACATTTTTATGTAACACAAATTTCCAGGTTAGTTCAATTTTTAGCAGCTTTAATTAACAAATTTAATTTAATAGCTGCAAAAGTTTATTAGTTGTCCAATAATCTGCTAAATTCGTTTGCTTATAATTTTCTTTTTTTCAAAGCTTTTTCAACTTTATTTTATTGCTGCATACGGTGGAGAACAAAGTTTTGTTCCAATTTTTTTTATTAGCTTTTAATTTTGATATTGCCATTTCAGTTAGGGTCTAACGACAACCCTCTTGAATGTTCGTCAAATTATCCTTTTAGTGCGATGAGGTCTGCTTTGACCAATCCAATTCCTACCTTCTCAGGTTAATTTGATGAACATTCAAGAGGGCTGTCGTTGGACCCTAACTGAAGTGGAACAAACCATCTGATTGACTATATGTTTAGATAGAAGTACTTGAGCTTTACCATATCTTGTTTCAACTTTATCACTCAAAAAGCATTGGCAAAATCTCATTGAAGTCTCATCTCATCTTAGAATGAACATAAAATTTAAGAATTTTAAACTTGGCCGATAAGAGCATATATTCATAAGTAGATAGACTTGGTGTCATAAATAACATAACAGGATCCTTATATAATCCGATAAATCCAAAAAATTTAGTAATTATCCATAAATTGCAATTAACTATTGAAAATCACTTAATACCGTACCAAGATTAAGCGTTTTTCAATAATTACTTATTTTTTCAATTTTCCAATTTTTCTAGGGATTCTGTTGTAACTTTATGACACCAGGTTCATTGACGAATATATACTCATATTGACCATTTTTGAGAACTTAAATTAATTCATTTTAAGACGTAGTATCACTTTAAATATTTGTCCTTTTTTGAAACATCTTCAATAGTAATAATCAAGGACAGAGGTAAAGAAATCAAGTTTCAGAGTATTTTTTCACTTGAATGTATATATGTTGCTTCATTATTATTATCACTTTATATTAATATTTATTTTGTACAGTTAAAATTTACAATCAGTATGAGTGTTTAATTAAAGATATTTTTTATATAATATTTCAGTTTAAAATAGCATTATATTATTATTTGAAGTTCCAAGCTTTAGTTTTTAAAACAACAAGTATTTTAATTTATTGAACATGAAATGCCAATATCAATATACTTTCTGTCAAAATTTGGCTAAGATGAATGAAATACAAGTTTATATTTCTATAATTATCATCTTCACAATATCAAGCTATTATGAAATGCCTCTTATACCTTGACTGCAATTTTTTTAAATGCTGCGATTTGATAGGATTTACATAATTGAATACAACCAAACAGAGCCCTTCACAAAAAGACTGTAAACAATTGGGCTGCAGGGTAATAGGTCGCTCTCATTGACTGTATTTGCTTGCATACAATCCAATCAAAAAGCTGCATTTACAATCTCCAGTGATACAAGAAAAGTGATGATTGCAGTCAAGGTACAAGATTGTGAAGATGATAATAATAGGACTGTAGGTTTCCTTAATCTTTGCCAAACTTTGAAAGGGAATATACCATGACATGGTAAGGATGTATAACATTTCTAGTTAAGTAGACAAATCCCCAACTAATCATATCTCTTTTCAGAATAAAGATCTGATTACTTAAGATTGGTCTACAATTCAATGAAAAACAAACTTCTGTTTGTCATTGTTAATTGGAGTTTCCCTCCCATCAATTTTATTGTATTGATTATCCCAGTTAGGTACAGTAGAGTAAGAAGCAAGACTAATGGTACTGATGTAAGAACTGTTATTAGGAACTGTAACTATACGCTGGTATAACTAAAATTTAGGTTGTTATATATACAGATGTTTTCAAATTATCTACCCGTCCATCAGCCAACAATATTGTTGCAAGAGTGCCTACAGTTGTCATTTGAATTTGAGTATACTCTATTTCCAGTAACTATTTAGTTTTGATTTTGTTTAAACTGCACATTTATTGTCTTGCATAGTTTACTTGCATAGATAGTTTAGTTAAGATTACCTTAATTCTAGTTAATTTGATCTAGTCTAGTAGAATATCGGGCTTTAATGTAGTTTTAATGCAGGCTTCAATTTTAGATTGATTAGCAATGTATCGCATCAAACAGAACAAATAAATATTTCTTTCCTTGCAATAAGGTATTTTTCATCTGATTCAAAATCCAAATAATGACAATCCACCAAAAATAAAATGGATTACAGAATAGAATGTAAAACAATAGTAATAGGCTACTTATTTGTTTCCTTTTATTTTTGAAAAGTCAGTGATTCCATAAAATGTTTCGTTTTGTGTATTGAAATTTGCTATCCTTAAAATATACAATACTAATGCTAGCACAAATTTTTATTAGCAATAGGGGCAGTTTGCACCCACTTTGTCTCGCAAATTGTGATGTGATACCACTTAAATTGAACCCTGCTCTGTATTCCCTCAAGTGTGATTGATTCTAGTTTTTATGTTACATATTGTTATCACTTTGTACATTTATTGCATTTTCATCTTTTTGCCCATATTATCATTCAAATACCTTATGTACAATAATAGAATATTTTACCAAATTTTCCTTTATATTTACTTGTATGAAACATTGTATTTGCCAATTTGAAAATGAAAATTGACATCGTCAAAATCTCCAATGAAAAGTTCAAACAAGTAGGATCAAAAGTAAAGATCTGAAGAGCACATGCAACCGAAGTTAAACTCTGGCATGCAGCCTCAAGTAAAGCTCTGGCATGCAGCCTCAAGTAAAGCTCTGGCATGCAGCCTTAAGTAAAACTCAGGCATGCAGCCTCAAGTTAAACTGGCATGCAGCCATTAGTAAAGCTCTGGCATGTAGCCTTAAGTAAAGCTCTGGCATGTAAACTTAAGTAAAGCTCTGGCTTGTAAACTTAAGTAAAGCTCTGGCATTCAGCCTTAAGTAAAGCTCTAGCATGTAGCCTTAAGTAAAGCTGCAGCCTCAAGTAAAGCTCAGGCATGCAGCCTCAATACAAGTAAAACTGTGGCATGCAGCCTTCAGTAAAGCTCTGGCATGTAGCCTTCAGTAAAGCTCTGGCATGTAGCCTTAGGTTAAGCTCTGGCATGTAGCCTTAAGTAAAGCTCTGGCATGCAGCCTTAAGTAAAGCTACAAAACCTTTCTATTTAAAACAGTTTGGAAAATAATAAGTTTGAGTGAACTGTTTTAATTAAATATAGTTTACATATGTTTATATGGCTTGTTTTTATTTTTCATACTAGGACAGTACATTCTACACCTTGGTAATTGTGAGGCCAGGTTCACAATGTCAAGCTATTACCTACTTTGTCATATACCTTGACTACAATAGCAACCTTTCTTATATGACAGAAATTTGTAAATGCAGCGATTTGATTGAATTGGTGAATACAGCCAGTCAGAGGCTTCAACAGAAGTCTGTAAACAATAAGCCAAGATGTCTGTCTGTTGAGGCCTCTGTATTTGCTGACATTTAATTCAATCAATGTGCTGTACTTTATGATTACAAGAATAGTGGCTGTTGAGGTCAAGGTATATGATAGAAGATGTAGATGTACTGCGGGTGACATGAATAATATAAAATGAAAAACATATTTATATTATATAAAACTACAAAATGTTTTTTGGTCTGAAAAATACTACTGTGGTGATAAATTCTGTCCCTTTTT